TTTTTTGTATACGTGGTTTATTTCTTCTAGTCCAGCTTGAGCAATTAAATTTATTGTGTGAGCTAAACATGGTATATGACGCCAGTTTTTATTCATTTTGATTGCTGCTGTTATATTTGCCGCATTGTCAGTGACAGCAACCTTGATTTTTTCACTAATATTCCATTCATTAAAACAATCTTTTAAAAACACCGACAAATTATTACTAGAATGAGATTTTTCAAAATTAAAACACCCAAGTAAAAAAGACTTTAAAACACATCCTGTTGTATCAATAAAATGAACGGTCACGGCAACAAAGCTATCATTATTTATTGAGGTCCAACCATCAGTAGTAAACGCTATAAATTGAGCATTATTTAAATTATTTTTCACTTTTTCTTTAGTTTCATTGAGTAGCTGTGGTAATAATGATTTTGATACTGTTTTTCTAGATGGTAATTTGTACCCAGGATTTAATAGATGAACGAATTTTTTAAATTCTTCATTTTCTACCAAACTAAATGGTTGAAACTCTTTTGCAATCATAATTGCTAACTGTTCGTCGAGTATTTTTTGTTTATTTAGAGAAATCGGTTTCGTAATACATGAATCTACTCGAGTTTGTAATGGGCGTGTTTTTTTTTGAATTTATGTTGGTCGTTGTGGAAGGTTGACAACTTAAAGTTTGAGGTTGTGAGGTTTGTGGTATTTTCTCGTTAGGTTCATCAGGTTTATGTTCATCTAAATTTTGCTCTACTATTTCTAAACGTGGAATTTTTCTAGCTTCGTATTGTACATAGTGTTTCCTTTTTAAATGTTTTGTTAAATTTGTAGTTGAACCCCCCTTTATACGAAATTGGATTTGAACAGTATGAACACTTTGCCTTCTCATTATTTATCACTGAAAAGTGATTCCAGATGTCACTACTTTTCTTCTCCGTTTAAAAATAATAATATTTTCTAGAACTTAAAAAAAATAAAAGTATGTACTATTGTCTATTCTATATGAAATAACAAAATAATATTTGTTTTTATTATTAAAAAAAATAGTTGAATGAATGTTCTAAAGATAATCAGCAAAGTACAAAGTATTTATTTATAAATTCATTAATACTTGCAGTAATTAAAACTATTTTTTTCTTTGACGATCACGTTACATTATACTACCGCAGCGTACTATATAACATAAATCCAGTACTTACCTTTAGAATGTTGTTGATTCAAAAATCACGAAAACACCAAATTATTTAACTTCATAAAAATTAAGTACTTAATAACTAAGATAGTAAGATGGTTACCCAATGGCGACTGTAGTTAACCAAATGAAAATAAATTCAATTACAGTAATGTAAAATAAAAACAAATCAAAACAATATTATTATTTATACGTATGTGTATTGTGATATATTATACGTTATTTATAGTTTTGATTCTTGATAAAGTAAATATTAAATATTATTAATAAATTACGAATACCATTACACATTTCACAACTATCAACTACACCGAAATCAGACACAGGAAATGTTTATTTCTTTATTTTATTGTGTTCTTTTTTGAATAAACAAGTATTTACAAATCTATTTTTATTTAGCGTTTGTATTTAATAGTAGGTGATAAACTAATAGGTATTAATATTGTATATTTCAAGTTTCAACACTTTTATGTCATTATATTTTATAATAATATATAAAACATTGTTTTTTATGAATCATATATTTATTTAATTGTAACTGTATAATAATATAATTATTAAAACGGTGATAATTTTCGAATACAGTAAAATAGTAGGTATTGTATAATGGGTGTACAAAGCGTCGAAACATATTTGTTCATAAATATCCATTATCCATTATATTTCAAGAACGAGTACACACTTGAATACTTGATCTTTCAGCGTGGAACAATACGAATCTGAGTACAATAGTAACTAAAAAAAATGTACCGATTGTACCGATGTAACGAGTATTTTGGAATCGGTACTTTATTGTAACTGTACCGATTGGAACGATAATTCCCACCACTACTACGGATGATTATGATCGTCAAAGTATATTTTACGTATACCTTACCTACTGCCGATATCATCATTGGAAATACTAATTTCAAATATGAAGATAAAATTATTAATAAATGAATCAATGTGGATATGTATCCACCTTGAAATGAATCAAACCATGACAATAATTTAATCAATTTCGACATACATTATCGCAATAGATGACAACGTATTTAATGTGAGAAGGCACGTAACAATGTGAGTACTGAGCAGGTAAACAAAAAAAAAACTGGAGGAGTTTACATTTACCTATTACAGTTAAGAAAAAAAAACTGGCGGAGACCTAACCTAGACCTTGTATCTTAACCGATATTCTAGCGGAGTTTACAATCGCCCATATGGAATATACGTTCAGGATTTAGCCGGTTTGGGACAACACCATAATATTTAATAATCAAAATCAAGGGGGCCAGGCTCCCCCTCGACGACGTGCCTGGAATAATTATATAATATAATTATATATAATAATTATCCGTTGGATAAGTTGTTACTTACATCATGTTTATTTTATTTTTATTTGTATATGTTACAGTAAAGAAGGAAAATTTAATTTGAAAACCGACAGTTTTTAACTAAAGAGGACGGAATAATATTATTTTGTTACTGAATAGCTCATGGACCATGCCAGTTTGTTTGATTTGCCATCAGACAGAAGCTGTTTTTAAAGTTCAATATTAAACGTCAATACAAGACTTCACATAAGTAAATTGCTGAATATGTTTATATTTATAATATATGTTAATAAAAATATTTGCTTTGAATTTTAATGGCCCTGAACATTTTCAAAATTCCCAATGTAGCTATCCAAAAATATTAATTAGTGATCCTAATATTAATACAAGGTTTTCAATTATGATTTCTTGAAATTACATTTTATAATCAATCTATAGTATAATCAATAATTGATTATATTGTAATTATAATAATAAATTAAAAAAAAAACTTTCATTTAAAAGCTAATTATACTTAGTACGTAGGCAGGGTAGCAATACTTATTGATGATACTAATCAAAGCTAGAACATAGAAATGTTATTATAATCATTAAAACCTATACAGGGTTTAAGCCTGTTTAATTTTAAGTCATAACTTAGTAAAAATTTAATTATAAAAGTAGGATGTGAGCTCAGTTGTTTAGTTAGACTTTTTGATGTGAAGGAAAAACTGAACATTTTGTTAAGGATATTTTATTTACAAGGAATCTTATTAAATATTAAGGATAATATTACATAAAAATAAGTATTTTCACATAAATTGTTTTTTTAAAAAAATGTATTTAATACTTCTATATAATAATAATCGAATAACATTAATAAATATATAATATGTCATAATCTTAAGTTTAATAAAATAAATATAATTATCAATAATAACATTAATATTAATGACAATTATTGAATGTTATATAAATAGTAAAATGGAATTTACATAAATCACTTTAGGTCTTTTTATTGGTAAACATACAGTATTATTCCAGGAATTAAAGTTTATATGTATAACATAAAATTAGTAACTAAAAAAAATCTCAACCATCAGTCTTTCCAAATATAATCACAATAAACCATTCAAATTAGATTAATACATAATAAAGTAAAATTAATAATGGATATTTGTATAAAATGGTTTTAAGCTTTCATATGATTTTGTTATATTATATACAATAAATTAGAGATGTAAAATTTACGTAAATTTTTTTTTTGGTAATTTACAGAGAAAATTTACGTAAATTCTGTAAATTTGGTAAATTTTGATAATTTTTGTATGTCGCCATAGGAACACCCTTAGGAAAACCTCACTTCCACTTTTCCATGAACTTATAATTATTGTAATGCTTATTTTTATTATTTACTGGATAGTGTGGTGTTCATGGTATTTTAATTTCTTGGGGCTTCATTTTAACTTTTTTAATATTTAATGACACAAATTAAATAAAAAGTAAACTATTAAAGAAATTAATGTAAAATCAATAAGTTTTAAATAATAAAAGTTGATAATGGTATCTACAGCCATGAATCAAGTGATACTATCATAGTCCATAGGCCGCGATGTGCCGATGTCAATAAAATCAAATTTATTAATAGCAGGGCTGTAAATAAATATTATATTTACAACCGTACTATTAATAGCAATAATAATTTCTGGTATGATAATATGTAATGTAAATATAATAGTGTAGTACACTATCAGTAGTTGTGAGCATGTTGAACGTTTGACGTTTTAAGTTATATTATATCAACTATTCCATTATATTAATATATTAAGAATATTCATCTCGTTAAGACGTATAATTTAAGGTGTCACATGCTAATATTTTCGATAAAATAATATTTACCTGTAAAAAAATAATTGGTAAATTTACTGGTAATTTACCTTACCGGTAAATTTACGCGGTAAAAATTTACCGAGCTTACATCTCTACAATAAATAACACTTCATAAAAAAATTATACATATACATTTATAAATATATATAAAGTAATAATTTAAATTTTGAAAAGTATACACTTGCATATCCTTGATTTATTCAAATATTTACTGTAGCTATTCATATATTAACACTTACACATATTTGTTATTAATTAATTTCTTAACAAAAAACAAAAATGGTTAATTTTGTTGTAAATAAGAAGAAACTGTTTTTTTCACTTCATTGATAATAAGCAAACAATTTACTGTAACAATATCTTTATAAATTGATTCAACTGAAAAAGAAATTCACATTTAAAATAGTTTTGAAATAATAAAGCCTATACAATAAATTAATACTACGTAATATATAAAAAAATCATAGCTTACATATAAGTTTATCAATTGGAAAGAAGGAAAGTAAGGATTGGCCTTGTTTTTCTACAATTTCTGTAATGCTAGGATCTTTAATATGCTCTTTTACATCATACAAAAGAGATATTAAGTCATCAAAACATTTGTCATTAACTTTTGAACAAAACACAAAAGCATGACCCATTTCATCAGGTTTGATTATACCAGTCTACAATAAAATATTATTGAAAATCACACCAAGATTAAAATATTACATAGCAAACAATGCAATATAATTTAAAATAATAATAAATACCTTTAGGAACATATTAACAAGCACGAAGAAAATACCAACATTAACTTGGGAAAGCAATGGATATCCAATTAATAACAAACTATCAGATGCTTCAAGTTTTTTTAAAAAATCTAAAATTGCAGTCAGAGATTCAAGTTGTTTTCTATTATTATTAATACAATCACTGATATTAATGGATGTTACATCGCAAACAATCAATTTACCATGGACAGTTTGCCTTGGTATTTGAAGCCAAAAATAACTGTTATATATAAAAAAATTTAAATTCAAAAAATAAATTATACATTTATTTGTTTAAATTCAAAAATTATAAACTTACTCTCTACGTTTTATAGAGTCTTCTGTAGGGATAGTAAATAATGATCTTGCTCGATTACTGTAATCAATAAGTACATCAGCACAAAATTTAGAGTTACGAATCACGGACACTGGTTTACCCATTTGCATATTCAAATTAGATAAATCAATTTTGGCATCCTAGAAAAAAAAAAATAGCAAAATATTATTTATGATTAAATAATCCAAATTAGTTTCAAATATATATTCACCTCTGCGGTATACCACAAAATTGCTTTTTCGTATTGCCAAGGAAATTGTGTAAAACTATTAACTTGATCTTGAAGTAATTTAGCTTCATCTGATGCTTGGCATTCTATTCTACGCTGTTTTTCATTAAATGAATAATTCATAGCTAACCTCTTTGTTGAAACTTTTGGTAGATCAAACTGAATAGCCTGTTCAATAAGAAATGATTTAATGTTAATCATAATATAAATTAATTAATAAATTATTAAATTTCTTCTAAATCAATTATACTTGAAGTTTATTTAGACCAACAATTTCCTGGGAAGGATCAATTGGTTTTATTTGAAATCTATTGACATATGTTTTAGCAACACAATATTGTAATTCAGTTAATGATTTAATGTCATCTTCATTTTTTTGTAAAAACCGTTCTATGTTATTCTCAATAATTTGCATCTGTAGTTCACTAAAATATTTTGAACATTTATACATAGATGATAAAAAATCTTTTGGCAACTCTTTCAATGGAAATAAACAATGATCAGATAACGCTAAAATTATAAAACAAAATTAGTATTTGGTATAAATAAAATAGTTAAGAAACTTACTACGATCAGTAGTTGAGAAAAATTGATGTATCAAAGGTTCTACATATTGTAATCCCTTAAAACCACGACAAATAACATAAATCTCAGAATTTCCTTGTTTACTAGTAACTGGTTTTTTTATGTGTACCGAATCAAAAGCACAACATAACAAATACATTCGACATAATGTATTACATTCAAACATGGTAAACATTTTCAAAATAAATGTACCATCTGTAATAATAATTAAAAATTATTTAAAATTTTAACTAATAAAAATTATTAATAATACCTTTTTCAAGTATCATTAAGGCAACCATAGTCTCTACTAACTGCAACCGCATAACTACATTTTCTTGTTCATCCGGATTATTTTGACAATCCATACTACCATCAGCTGTTACCTGAATATAATACATATTCAATAAAAATTATAAAATTAATCAAAATTAATAAATAATTGTTTCTTTACCAAACTTGCTTCTGTACCAAAACGAGTTTTAATATAAGTATAAAGATCTTTATAGAAATTTTTTTGGAAAATATCTCCGGTTTGATCTTTTCCAAAAAACCAATGGCTTATTGTGTATAACATGAATCTATCATCATTAATCAGATCAGGATTACCATTCCCTTCATGATAAGGATTTAACGAAACACCAACCCAATCCCACTAAAAAAATAAATATTAATTAGTCAATGAAAAAATGAAAAATAATTATATAAGATAATAACTTACTTTAACACTAATATCTCTGCTACAAATAAAATGGTTTAGAGCAGTAATAAACCCTCCTGGAGCTTCACATAAATGAACACTGCAGAGTTTACCACCATCTATACTTTTTTTGGGTATTACATCATTATCATTTAATATTTCATACAATTTCAACCAAGCTGAAGTCAATAACTCAGGATGCCCAATTACTTTAACTTTATATAGAATTTTATTAGCTGGATTTGTTTGTTTGGTATTTTTATGCCATTCAGCCAAGTTAAAATCATCAAGTTTATCTTTGACAATATTTAATGATTTTTTTAAACTTAAAAAATCTGGTAACTAAAAAATAAAATAAAATATTTAATACTTCTATATATTTGTAATTAACCATTGCTTAACTAGGAGGGGAGTATTTTATTTTTTAAAAAAAATAACTTGGGAGTTGGGGAATGCTTATTTTTATAGGTTTGTCTAATCTTAGAAACCTTTTCTAAGTCTTGTACTGCACTAATCCTTTTATGTTTAACAAACAACAAATTTAGTTAAAGTGAAGTACATTTTTAAAAGTTAAATAAAATGGGTTATCATTAAATTAAAAAAATGTAGATGTTTCAAAATTTGATTGTCAGATTAGACATTTAGTTCACGTGGATAATTAATTAGATAATATATTAATAATAATAGTAATAGTATTAGTATATAATTGAAGCCATAAGAACTGAACTATTTGTAAGTAGTATTATACCAGAAATAAATATGAATATTATAAGGTTATATGGGTGTTTTCTTTATTTTCCCACCTTCTGTTATTAAGGTACAGATCTTTAACACTAAGTTTTTCTTTAATTCGCCTTTTCCTATTTTATTTATCATTATTTTTCATTATCTCAAGTGATAGCTTTTCAAGCCTTCAGATTTAAATACTAATCATTAAAAACTGTTCCCCACTATTTGAAACTCTATTATTACATAGTTTAAATAATAAAAATATTAACGAGGAAGATTATTTAAAAAGTTGTTAGAATATTATAATCGCTGACAAATTCGTGATGGCATTATACAAAAAAAGTATGTATATATTATATACTATATTTTAAACTTCAACAACACTAAATCGCTATAATCGGTATATAAAGTATACTACATTAATAACATTAAAATACTAATTACATTAGTAACATTATATATTATTCTACAATAGAAACATCAGAAATGTATTAATAGGTATAAGTAGAGCCAGATTTAGGGAAGGTCCCACTGGCCCACCAAAAGATTCAATTAATAAGAGGCCCCCACAAAATAATTATCTTTTTTTTTTTATTTAATTTTTCTAGTAATTTGCAAAAAAGTATTTTTTTTTTCTAAGTTTAACGCTATTAGTGTGTGATTAAACGAATCACTAAATTGGGATTGGTAATTTTCTATCATTACTACTAGATTACAAATATAATTACTCAACTAGTGTTGAATGATGGGTCGTTAATCATAATAGTTATTTGAATTTCAAAAATAGTATTATTTTGTGTGTTGTATTATTAAAAAGAGATGACTTAAAAGGTTACTTTAATTACTTATAAATTGTATTAACATTTTATAAATCTGTATTTATTATGTTCAATAAGCAAAATTGATGTGATAAGAAATTAATAGCATGTTGAGGGAATAACCCATTAGTAATATATTATAGTTTAAGTTTTAAAGAATGTAGATCAACTAAAAATTCTTATATTTCAATTTTATGTGGGCCTCCACAAGCGTAAATCCGATCCTGGGTAAAAGCAGCGATTAAATAATATGTTGTTGATAAATAATCAATGGTATTAGCAGAGCCTGATTTCATAAAATTAGGGCCAAGCGCACAATTTTTTTTGCCCCCCCCCAAGTCAAAAAAATGTTCTAGAAAAAATCTACATAAAGGGAAGGGATATTTATATGTTATAAGTGTTAAATACATATCACAAAACTTATAAAATTTTAAAATCGAATGAAATATATAAGTAGTTCTAAAAATAGTAATTGTGTGAACGAAATACTCATAGCGTCACCAACAGGTAAATCTGTAAATAATGGGTTCGAATAAATCTAAAAATAGTTATTGGGTATCAAATATTTCCGATATTCAAACAATTTTCTATTATTATTATTTTAATATTTTACGATGGTAATTGATTAGAACTGTGGTGTGGAATGACAAAAATAACCAAAATTCAACTGAAAATTTAATGATAAAAATATATTGAACTCTGAACATTGACAATTGGTATTACCTAAATTTTATAAAATAAATATTTGAGGAATTAAGATGAAAATACAATTTTCTACAACTTACGAAGAATGGGGGGCCCCAGAAATTGAGGACCAAGTGCAAGTGCTCCATCTGCACTTGCGTATATCAAGGCCTGGGATTAGGTAGTAAATAAATGATAAATATTCACAGATATCTATACTATAATATAGATATCTGGCAATTTATGATCATAATCTTAATGCTTTGATGTAGTGTTTAATGATTTAAGATAACAAGTAATAGCTATTAGATAGCACATTTTAAATGTATAAATAGTGTCTTACTAGGTTTTTTATATCCAATTATATTTTTATATAAAATATTTATAAATAAGAAATGTATGAAATAGTTGACATACATATATACCTATATGTATTCGTGTTAATTGTTAATGGATTTAAATGACCTTAGCATACTTTGTATATCTTTATTATTGTCATCGATATAAAAATTAGTACACAAGATTGGCGAAAGTTAGGATAATTAGATTACATCTAAAAGCGTGATTATAAATATAGGTGAAATTAAATGTGTTCATTTACCTCCCATTTACTACAATTTAACATGGTGCTGGGTTCAGGAAGTTCCCACTTGCTGGAATTTGGCATAGTGAACTGCTTTGAGAACAGTTGATTCACAACTTCGTCGTAATGCGATTGCTTGAATTGAGATCCATAGTTACTGTTGTATTGTTTCTTGTCTTTAGTCAAGCCATCTTTTGGGTAGTCGCAGGTAGTGTAATTATTATTAAAACAATCTTCGTTTTTACCCATTTTTATTAAGAATTTTTATCTCTCCAGAGCTTGCAAAGTTCACACAGCGAGCATTCACACGGCACTTGATGGTTATTAAAGTCTCACGAGTAACAAATTAATGAACTTACATCTTAACAAGTGTATTTAGCACAAGATTATTGATATTAGGCATGTCATGTTTTGTGGCTTAAAAAATATGTCAAATTCCAACGCAGAAATGCATCACAGACGCATCTCACTTTAAATGTATTGCATTAGTCCGTGGCCAATAGGCATTAGCCTGATTTCTAAACGATAACTTTCTACTCTTATCAAATCCGATGTCGTGTCATTATCGAGTTAAACATTCTCGCCTAGTGGCACTATCTGCTCGATAGAAATCTGTATAGTCATAGACTATCTCCAATTGGTGACTCCACAACATATCTTTCTCTGTAACTTCGAACATCGACAAATTTATAGACATTACGAAATTAGAGAACTGTCTAGTGACAATCGTTAAAAATCTAAAGTAATAATGATATCTTTGAAGTCTTCGACAAGTATAAAAAGAAAATCGTATGTATGTATCTACAACAAAGTTGTAGATGTGTTTAATAGCTTATGAATTATTGTTTGTTAAAAACCTAAAGTTTAAACCGTGTTAGCACGAGTTATTGTTATCAAACTATTAAAGGTATGGTGCGAATGATGTATTTGTTTTTTTTTTTTTTTTTAATGAAGGGTTTCAAATAAACCGATCAAAAAAATTAAAGATTATTTTCAATATCAAGGATTCAAATATGAGAATCGACACCAAATATCAACAACTGAATCATTTGATGAGAATCTTATGTTAATGTTTAGGATAACTCTAAGTAGGTTATATAAATATAATTAGTTTCAAATTTTCAAACTATAAAAATATGTTATCAACCCAATAGTGTCCAAAAATTTTCAATTGATAGATGTTATAAATAATGATATATAAGTAATGGATTATGGATATGATATCAAAAACATAGTATAGCAGGGGCGTCCTTAGGGGTGTTTGGGTGTTCAACCCTCTCCCCTACCGAAATTTTAATAAATTTAGAAAAACATATTGCTTAATATTAATATATAATTTAAGTTTAATATCATAAGCATTTGCTAGAATTATTTTTGTAATCCATTGTCGACCTATCTAGTACTATGAAATTAATTATTACCAAATTATTATGTAAGACTTAAGGTGTAAAGCTCTTCAATTTAATTTTTGCTCATTATTGTTTATAGAAATTAGTTTTTTAAAAGTTATAAAATTTGAATAAATCATAGTTATAATATTTTCTAATAGTATGTTGTTAAAGAATGAGTTGAACAAAAATGGAGCTATTATAGAAAAAAAATGATTTCAAAGAAAATGTTTATGTGAAAACGAAAATTGAAAATGTTAATAAAATCATATGGAAATCTAAGTATGTACAGCCTATATAATTCATTAATTTGTTTGTGCATGGAGAAAATACATAAATTTACAAATTTATAATATAGTCTTATAAAAGGCATATTAATAAAGATCAAATAATTTATTTTTAAAATATCTACAAATATAAAATACTGATTATTTAATGTTGTAAATAATCATGCCATTGAATAATACAATAAAATTATTCTCAATGTTTTATACTCAATTTTTTATTTAAATAAGTTATTATATAAAAGTAGGTATAACAATATTATTATAATACTCTTCAAATGAGAAATAAATTTTCAAATTTTATTATTAAACATAATAACTTAATATCATAATATTCTTTGTAAGTTTAGTACTGAAAAATGATTGGATTATTATTATTTTTTCTAAGTAGGATCCAACTATTGAGACTTTGCTCCTAATTTTTGTTTTTATAATGCTAAATTTTGATTTGACTGGAAAAATACATGGATTAGAATGGTGGTAGTTTTTTTTTATTGAAATTGCTATACTTCTTGTAAAGTGAAACTGCCTATGGCCAAATTCAAACCAGTGACTGTGCATTTAGCCACTAGCCATTTTATTCTGTTTTTGTTCTTGTTCATAGTATCTTAGATTTTGGCTTTTGCAAAATATGTTAAACACTCATTTTAAGAAAAAAATATTTTACAGTATTAATTACACAACTTTCATCAGTACCAATTTAAGATGATGTGAAATTATGACATATGTGACTTAGCATGTTATAATATAACTTGTTTTGCACCTCAAAGTAACTATATATTTAATTTTTATTATTTTTATTTTTAAGCTCACTCATAAATTATAAGATCAAACTTCACACACCAACATAAACACAATACAAATACAAAACAAAATTATATTAGATGAAACATTTTTTTATTTATAATTATATTTAACAAATATTTATGTATAAAATTAGTAATTTATAATTTATGTTTATAAACTAATATATTACATTATCTCAAAATCATCTCTTAGGTCGTTGTATTCAAGAACGTGCTTCTTAATAGCAGAATTATCTACCCATGTCACAAAATCTTCTAAAGGTCTGAAAATGAATAATTTTAAAAGTAACATTAATTTTTTTTTTCATAAAAGTTTCAATTTAGTTCAATTTAGAGTATAGTATAACATAATACTTAACATTATTTTTTATAGTTTTAAAAAAATCATATTGGGAAAATACATGGTTGCAATTTAAAAACTATGAAGTGTTTTACTGCCATTTATAAACATACCTATTTATGGAATACAATAGAACACTTTAAACAATTAAATTATATTAATTATACTCTTCATTTTATTTTTAAAAAAGCTTTAAAAATAATGTATTTGATAATCACTTCAAATATTTATTAAAAGTTTACTCAGGACTTCAAAAATCAATTTTATTATCTTTAGAGCCCACAGAACATGACAAGTTATAGCATTAGGTAATATATATAAAAAGTAATTATGCTTTAATTATTACCTATTGAATTTATGTTCATAATCACAGATTTAATATAAGATATACTCCCTAATCAAGTAAATATATTTTTAAATAAATTTAAAAATATCTTATTACTAAAGTATTTGAATATCAATAATTAATTAAAAATGAATAAATTGCCCAACAATTGATTAAAATAATCCAATACTAACAATTAATTTTTGTTGTATTATTTACAATACATTTTTCAATACACAAATTTGTTTTGTGGTTATATAGTTATTTGGCATTAGTTATAGTTATTATACTAAAGTGTTTTTGTTTTTTAACTTTTTAAAAGTCTTCAAACTTAACAATTAAGGATATTAGCATCGCAAGTATATTTTTGATACATTTTTGGATGTGATTAAGCGGCGCAGTTTGCAGGGATGAGTAGTGACTATTTTTTCTCGACAATTATCTTGCCCAAAAACTTTATTAATTAATTAATTAATGTTTGAAATTGCAACTATGCGTTTAACATGGTTTCTTTAACCATTATTCCACCACTGCCTTCTTAGAAATATTATTCTAATATGTCATTTTATAATCGTTAATAAATATATCATTTTTTTTAGTCTAGTTAATCCATTTTTATTGCAATATTGCTATCCCTACTTTTAAAAAATATGCTACTATTTTATATATATTATATTAAGATTCTTATAAAATATAATATACTCTTTTAATAAAAAACGTTAAAAAGATTTTAATCCTAAAAGAATAAAATAATATACAATCAAAATTCTTTTAAATACCTTGATACTAAGAATGCTGGATCCTTAATTAGTTGTGGGCCAACTCGAACATGTCCTTGTTCAATATAAGTAGTTGCAGATTTGAGTGTTTGGACCATTTTAGATCGAACCATTATAACAGGTAATCGACGTCTACAGAAACAAGATGCTGTTACTTTGGAACAAAGTTCAAAGTTCCTCTTTGTTGTTATTAATCCCATCATGTATCTAAAAAAAAAAGCTATCAGAACTAATGTAAGAATTTCAAAATGTTTGACTACCTAAATTTTGTTTGGTTTTTATAATTACATTTATATTATTGCAAACATATTCTTTTAGAATATTGAATAAAAAAATAATTAATATAATAATAATAATAATTAAAAGAATTTAAAGATTTAAAAGATCATGGATGTAACTGTATACTTTGTTCCTCACATATTTTGACAAGATTCATATATATATATATATATATAATTATATACTTATATTTATAAATAAGTCTTAAGAATATTTAACTAATAATTAATAAGCTAAATAATATTACAATTTTTCTAACAACTGAGCACCACGTTCATTTCTGAATGGATCTTTAGGATCTAGAGATTTTATCTTTTCTGCTACTGTACGTATTTCTCTAGATAATTTATTGTATCTGCAACAAATTAAAAATGTAATAACTATTTCTCAATAAAATCAAAACTGCTTACAGTGTATAATGTTCTCGTTTTTGAATCATGTACTTTTTCATAATTTTTAGTTCATGTAAATTGTTGTCTAGCTCCCATGATATGAAATCGACTTTCTTCAGCAATTTTTGCTCGTGAAATTTTAATTTCCTAACCATTTTGAAGCAATTACGGTAATTCAATAATAATGATCAACAAACAAAATTTAAATTTAAGTATTGACTATTAAGCACACCAGTGTAAGTAAAAACGTGACTGATAACATAAAAGATATGAGGAGATATGAGATATTGATTATCAGTCACCAAGAAGTCCAACATTTTAATTATAGAAATGTTGAAGAATTAATAAATATTAATTAAATGTTCTTGTTATATTGATAAATTAACAGCATTAACATTTCTGCCGTCTATTTTAGCGTATTATAATAACGTGTTGTTATATCATGATATACGAAGTAGTGGTGGGAACAATTAAGAGAAAATATTCGAAATACTTGATTATTTAATATAATCGATTGTTCTCGATTGTTTTAGTAATTATCTAGTGATTCGCTCAATAACGAAATCAATTGAAATAATCTAGTGAAAAATGCTCAATTACTCATAAGAGATAACCCACACTTTCTAGTATCGTAATGCCGTGCTAAGCGAAAACAGGGTAACTGCATTTTTTGTAAAAATGATATTTTTGTTTCTATAAGTAAAATTAGTGGTTTTACACCAATTTTTGATGTAAAAATAGCGTATTTCCTATATAAAAACCATCCTAAAATGAATTTTAAAATAAGAAAATACGTGGTAAGTCCAGTATATTTGATGTTTTCTAAGCAAAAACATGGTAAATCCAAATAATAAGCAAAAACTTGGTATATCACATGAAAAATAATGGAGTTATCGTGTTTTGGCTTATGTTAGTACGTTGGAAAAAAAGGGTATGTACGTGATATAAACATAAGTCACATTTTATCAATTAAAAACAATGATTATTTCATATTTGATTTATTATTTTATAAATTACTAAACAGATATCGATAAGAATATCATAGCATTAATCCGGTAAGTCCATTATTATAGAGTTATCAATTTTTCGCTTAATACTCCGATGTTGTTTTTATGAAAGTCCATTTTCTTCTTAAAAAACTCAAAAAAGTTAAAATAAAAAGTGTTCAACCAATTCAAGATGTAAAATTAGATACATGAGAAGTATATATCGTATTAACGTTATTTTTAGGCATGATTCACTGTTGAAAACGTTATTTGGTGTTTCTCAATTATCATGCTGACTGGAAATATCTATTTTCCTTTAGCACGGCAGCATAGTATTTATTATTTACTGGTTAGTGATTTATACCAACTAGTATGTAGTCGGTACTCGATTACTTTTTGTTTGTTCTTATTCATCGCTCATCATACTCGAAATATTTGTTATCTAATTATGTTAAAAATTAAAGTCTTAAATTAATAATCATTTCGATATTTATGGTTTTCCTTGTATCTTTATTTCCTTTTGAAACATTCGAAACACGTTTATGAGCAAATATTAATAATAATCATATTAATTTAATTTTGTTCGAACGGCAAGAATAATTAAGAAACACTCAGTTTTGATAATTTAAAATTATAAAATTCATACCTACCAAACAAATTTTAAGGTTTAAGAGTTTGATTACTTTGTCGTTGGATTACTGCTTGTGAAGATGCATTAATTAAATTAAATATTATAAATGGGATAATTTAAGATTGACATTTTTTAACGATATGATCATGGGCAGAAATGAGAAGGAAGTTGCTTAAGGGGACTAAATCCCTCTAAAAGTTTAAAGTAGAAGTCTTAGCCCCTCTGGTCGTTCGGTTTTAACAACAACAAAATGCTTTGAAATTATTGTCACAAATTCACAAATATAATTGTGAAATTTCTTGACAATTTTTAAATTGAAAATGGGTCACAAAAAACAAAAATATTTTGATTTTTGATACCTTATAAAAATAAAAATATTGTGATTATCAAACTACTTCAGATAATTGAATTTGCTGTATTTACTGTAATTATTGTTATTTAATTTAGTGTAAAGTATTTCGATTTAATCATTATTTGTAAGATTTGTTCTTATTACAAGTTATAATAATTATTATTATTATAACAGTTTTTGTAATTATAAAATTATAGTTAACATTTTTTGACATTTTTTTTTTTTGCCACGTTTAGTACAAAAGTCAAAGAAATACTGACCCAGGCTACTAAGAGTTTTTTTTTTTTTTGAGTAAAGGCCTCGACGACATAGGTCATTGGCCGAAAATGTAGATTTATGTAAACGTACTTATGCTGCTAGGTATACAGTTTTTTTTTTGTAGCTTGAATGTGAGATGAAGCTAGAGATATATACATTGGTTATAATACAAAATAAATAATAAATAGATAAATAGATAGAACAATAAAAGTAAAAAAATACCGTGTGTATAAAGGTTAAATTATTCTGTACAAATTAGTATCATTAATATAATATGTTGTAGATATATAAAGAATCGTTGTTGAGGCATTCGGTGAGGTTATATGGAATTTTATGTTAAGTTCTTTCTTCATTGAATTGGCAGCATTCCAACAGTAGATGTCTGATGGAGATTTCATGTCCGAAAGTCAGGGACGTCTCCAATCCTTGGCTATAGGGGGGGGGGGGATATTATATTATTAAAAACAAATCATCATAGTATACATATTTATTTTATTAGTTTATATTACAAAATCCCTACATCTTTTATTCTTAGCAAAGCGGTCTATTATGGTTTCTATATTTAATGCAATCTCCCTGTGAATATGTAAAAGTGCCAAATCTGTTAGTCTATTTTGGCCCATTTTACTTCTTATCCAAGTTTTCAATCTATAAAGCAATCAAAATAAAGAAGAAGCATACTTAAATTTAAAGCAAAATCATATTATTTAATATTTTAAAACATTATTATTACATTTAATATTAAGTGCAGTTATAGTATATTAATTAATTTCTTAAATATTGCGTTTAATCATGCAATTATGTCTAAATTAACTACTATTAATTGTTTAAGGGTAAACAAGAACCCAATCAGCTGATATAATATTATAAACCGTGCTAATATAATCACAATATATTATAAGATCAATTATTATATCAGACTGATATTATATTCTATGATCGCGAATACGTATTATGATAACAACATATCCAGACACCATTGATAAAAAGAAAAAATGCATTTAATTTAATATAAAATGTTTAAATTGATCAATTACTATGCAAGTCAGTCCACCTCACGGGGGGGGGGGGGAGAGATTGCCCCTATTCCCCCATAAGGACGCCCCTGCCGCAAGTGTTGCATGATCCGGGCTTACTATTTTCCATGACGTGTTTATGGGTGAGCCAGGTGTGTCCTATTCTTAGACGAGTTAGAATTACATCCTGTTTTCGGTTTAGATTTAGTGGGTTAGTCCATTTGCCTGTGATACGTTTTACCTCCCTTCATTTGTTATCTCTCAATAAGTGCCATGCCTTGCGCCATAGGTTGAATATTGTATTTTTGGTTTCTCTTTTGGGGTCATCTTTAGAGTACAATTTAATAATATCAGTAGTTTGATCACTCGTTGCTTGTTTCGCTGCTGCGTCTCCTCTTTCGTTCCCCTCTATGCTGATGTGACCAGGTTATCCATATTAACGTTATAAGTTTATGGGTATTATTGTGAAGGTTGATAATGTCGTTGGTGTTTTTATTTTTTTATTCTTTTTTTGTATTTTGAATGCTTATAAGAGTACTTAGAGAATCAGTGAGAATATTAGAATATTAAAAGAATGATTTGGCATCTCATTAATTAGTTGAATAGCTTTCCTGATCGTTAAGGCTTCAGCAGTGAAGATGCTGTTTAGGACTGGTAATCTAAATTTTTGTACTGAACTGCTAATAATTATCGCAAATCCAACACTAATTTCGGTTTTGGATGCAACTGTAAATACAAAAGTTTGATCTTTGTTTTATATTTTTTCATTATAAAGATTCCTAAATATCTGTGGGTTTGTATTATTTTTATTATTTTTTGCAAAACTAAAATTTATTACAAACTTATTTGGACTCCAGGGTGGTTTAATATGAAAGACAGCTTTGATAATGTGTATAGAATTAATTCTGAAAGTTTCAAAGAGAGGTTCTATTATTTTTCCAATTGGTTTGCTTGTGTTGGGCTTATAATTTTATTGTTTAATTTCTTGTAACTATTTTGTAAGAAAAGTTTTTTTTGATGCAATCCAATATTTTGAATTATCGATATAATATTGCGATATATAGTACCTCGACATTAGTCATTATGCCAATAGTTGTAAGTTTAATAATTTTAAAATATTACACTAAGTGGTCTGCAATATTTACCAAATATTTTAGTAACTGTTGAATTGTACGGGTTGCCGGTGTCATAATCATTAAGGAACATGAAAAAGATAGAAGGGCTTCAGCACCCCCAGTTTTTTCATTAAAATTGCGCCCCTGTACACCATATAATTTAAATGAACATAAAAAGGTCCTGGTGATTAGCACGCATAAGCCTTAATAATAGGTAATAAAAATACAATTTGTGGCGATTCGCGCACAATAATAATAATAGGGAAATACAAAAGCACGGCGGTTAGGGCATGTAAGCTTCAACGTAACGAATAATATAAAAAAATAACAAAATTTGGTGATTTGCACCATTAAAAACAATAATAATAAAATTTACGGCGATTAACGCACGTAAAACTGTAAAGGTATAATAATTATAAAATAAAAATTGCGGTGATTTGCGCTTGAAAAATTATAACTCTCCCGTACAGTGGTTTACACGAGACAAAGAAAAATAAATCGCCTACGAAAATTAAAATAATACACATACATACACGCGCACACAAACTTTTCAGTTACATAACACACGATAAAACGGACAACTATCAACAGATAATAATAATTAAACCCAATAAATATAAAAAATGATTAACGTACAGTGAGTGTGTGTGGGTGTGTCGTCTGTCGATGGCGGGACGACCTGGCTAATGTACCGTCACGGCGACATCGGTAAACAACGATATATACAAGGGCGCATGTAAATTCCGCCCAAAATTAACTACAGGTAAAATAAGGTACCAACATGTAAATTCCGCCCGAAAAAAATTGATAGTAAACACGTCCTACATATAATTTATAAGTTATAAGTAAGAAGTTCTTATTACTTAATGAAGTTTAAAAGTTTAAAGTTATTTTTATTTGTATTTTTCAACCAAAACCGTTTAGGTATAATAGCCAATAGGTTTAGATAAGATAAGATATGATTGACGATCGTCATCTGAGATTCGTTTGAACATTTAGTGACTTCCAAATATTATAACACGCCACGTTGCGAACTGTATGGTCGCATCGTACAGCACGGAACGCTTAGTTGAAAAATATATATTTTTCCGAGCGGAATTTAAAAATTCCATTTTTGTACCTACATATTTTTTCGTGCGAAATTTACATGTACCAACATTTTTTACTTGCATATTTTCCCGAGCGGAATTTATCATTGACCTTGTTTTTACCTAATCATTTCGGGCGGAATTCACGATAGCCCACGCAGTGCTGTAAAAACCGGATGTGCAAAGGGTGTATTGTACACAGGCCCCGGGCTTCGAACTATATATTATGGGGCCTCAAAAGGTCAAACGCTCAAAAAACGTTTGATGATTTGTTCAAAGTTTTGATTCGCAAAAGGCCTCGAGTGATCTATAATTATAGTTACGGTACTTGATATGTAGTGTAGGAACGTTTAAAAAAAATATGCTGATTAAACTGTATTATGCTAATTGTGTAAAAAGGATTTTAAGTATTATGGGAGTACAACCAATCTAAAAGATAAACCAAAAATAATAATAAATATGTTCCATGGTTCGGGCTTCGAAAAATAGTTCTATATTTTAAATTATAGCTTTACACAAATTAGGATCATACCGAGAATTTACATTTTTATATAAATACATATTGAATTCAAAGCCTAGGACACATATTGGTAAATATCCAAAAATTATCTCAGCATTTATTTTTAATTTTATACTTACCTAAGATCGTCAAAAAGAAGGCATCCTACTACATTCCATAATGTATCAATAAATAAGGAAGACTCAGACACTGAATTACGAAATGCTGAAACTTTAACGAGCTCTTCTACCTCATCAATTTCATCAGTTCTTTTTCTCAAACTATAGAACAGTTTTCCATGAAATCTCTTGTAGAAATTGATGGCTGTGTCGTGAACGGTTTTGATTTGGAGGTCATCGTGGACCCATTAATTGAAACGTTTGAATCGTTTAAATATTTGATTTTTTGGCTAGTCCCCAGAGTATGATGCCGTAATTCCAAATGGAACGGAGGAGACATTTGTATGTAAGAATATTGTTTTGAAAGATGTTGTTAGATCTTAGTAAGGGCCTAAATAGGTGAAGTCTACTGTTACTTTTTTCGTTTGTCTTTGAGGTGAGGACCCCAAGTAAGTAAATTGAAAGACTTATCGATATCAAAGGCCTTTTATCTGCTGCATTAATATCCCTTCCACGTTATCCACATAGTGTAACTGCTATAGAATGAGAATTATTAGAGGACTGTATACCTTTTTAAAACCATTTCAGAGTATGAAAACTATATTACCTACCTGGGTAAATATATCCAACGATGGTAATACCACTTATACGAGACTTACAATATACTATTGGAAACATAACGCCGAAGATTGTCCCAGGTCAATCATTAAAAACATTATTAAATGCCGTTTTCAGACGTTTGTGGTCTATAGAAGGAAATAAAATAGTTGCAAAAGCTACACTTATGAACCCAAGATTGAATAAAACTGCTTTTAGATTGAACGAAAACGCAGATGATGCCGAAAAATGGATATGTGATGAGCTGTGTGCGATGATTGGGAAACGGAAGAATCAAATAACAAAAGTATAGAAATTATTGATACTAATGTTCAAGAATAATCAAATTCTCTATGGCATCATTTTGACAGGTAGAACAAGTTGAAACAATTGTTACACATTGTGTGATGGTCACACTAATGTTACGCCTATTTACACTTCGAAAAAAATAAAAATGCATTATTATTTTAGCAGCAAAACAACCTTCCTAGAATTATTTAAATTAGGTTTATAATATTTATGTATCCCAGATACTTCAGTTCCGTCGGAATGCGTATTTTCTAAAAACTGGACAGATAATCAACAATCAAAGAAATAGATTTTTTCCGGTAAAAATTTAGATTAAATAATATTTTTTAACTGTAATTTAAACATTTTTAAATTTTTTTCTTTACTTTATGTATTTTTTATTTACAATATAGGTATTCAATTATAATTTAATAAGTATTGCCATTTATTTTTATTGTTTAAAACAAGGATAACATTTTATTTTATTTTCATAAAGTTAATAATAAGCTAAAATATTCCCAAAAAATACGACATGCTTAATTTTATGGTTCATTATGATATAAAATAATATTATGATTAGTTTATTTATTATAAGTTATACAAGGCAAGTGCGTACCCAAGTGGGGGAGGGTTGAGTCCGGACACCTCATTGAAATTTCTGCATACTCAACGATGTAATAGTAAATAGTATAATAATAGTATATTGGTAGTGTATTTTAAAATCCCATTACTTTCAATATACAAATTTTATAGATCATATATTATACCTATAATGTATAAACCATATTGTAGTATATTAATAGTAATTTGTTGGTATTGAGTTAAACTAAATAAAATAAAAATTTTGGACCCTCCCCCATAAAAATTTCCTGGGTATGCTCCTGATACAAGGTAAATATTGGTTTAATTGTTATTGAATCGAACAAACGATTTCATAATATACACTATTATTTATTAGAATTTTCAATTTTTGTTTAGTAGTCGGTAAATAGTAACTATCTACTAAGTAGGTACCTACTAACCCATACATTTTTATTCACTCGAAAGTGAATCTCTCGATTATTAAATTTTACGACTACTAACTTCACGATTATCGAAATCACGCGATTGTTCCTATCACTAATACAAAGAGTATTATTTGATTACAAATATAAAAGTTATCAACTTCAATCTGGTTCACACACTGTAAAATAGTTTTTTTTCCATTTACTGATAGCGTACGTCACACGATTCTATGAAATTTTTTCAGTCATATTGTAAACTGTAATCTTTTGCCGATAAACATAATTGGCAGTCGTATTTTCGTATTTAGGAGTACATAGATTGATACAAGCGGCTTACAAATAATAAATTGTTTTTCATGTTCGTCTTTCTGGTGCCTTTTAACTTTGTGATTATGACATCCTCACAGTGAATGCTTGTTGTCGTCGTTTTACCTTATTATAATTAAAACAACTAGTTCGTGTTACCGTTGTATAACAGTTTACGTATTATATAACCATGGCTGAACCTGATGAAAATCCGTTTGGAGATCCCACTGTGGGTCATCCTTTTCAGGTAATTATTGAATTACTTAAACGTTTAATATTAATTAAGTAAATTCAATAAGATAATAATATAGAAAATATTAAAATTAAAAATAAATGTGTATTTTTTTTTCTTAAATTATTATCTATTGGGCATGTAATATTATTTTTTAAATTATTTTAAATTATTTTATTTTTGGGAGGTATAAATGTTAAAAAAATAAAAACATGCTCTCTTTGTTAGTATATTACTATAATAATATTTATATTTTTAAGCTCTCATGCTTGTTTATTAGGTATTGGACTTACCAGGCTAGATTATACTAATAATCAATATACAATTATATTCTTACATTTAATAACTGTTGTAAATGTGATGAACAATGTAGAAAATTAATTACTAAATCTATAGCTTGAACATTGATTTTAGTATAGCATAGCTAAGGAAAAAAATTGTGTTTTAATTATTTTTTAGGATCCTTCAGTCAAAGAACTAACAAATAATAAAGTACAGTCTTTAATTGAAGACTTCAATCCATTTGGAAAGGAACAGAATGTTGCTAACAATGCGGTAACATTATTATAACTATTATTGTACATTAATATTTGTTATTTTTAAGTTAGTGTTGTGTTTTTAATATTTTACCTATGATGTACACAATATATTTTTTAGTTAAGTTTTTTACTGCATTATAGAATAGATTGTAGAGCCGTATTTGTTATATATAAACTTTTTTTACTAAAATGCAACTAAATCAACTTAGTCTATAATATTTAAAATTGTACTGAATTTGTATTTTATTACAGAAACCTCCTATACGAGGAGCAGCCAATCCACCATTAAATTCAATGCCAGCTGTTATGTCACCTACTCAAGAATATCCAGTTACACCACAAGTAGCTCCAACTTATGGAAGAAATCCTGGTGATGTGTCAGCTGATTTATTGGTATTTAATTTATTTTTCAATTTTATTTCAAAGTATATAAATATTAATTATACTAAATAAGGCTAGAAAAGCTGAACTTGATCGAAGGCAAGCTGAATTAGATAAAAGAGAAGAAGAATTACGTAATGCTACAATCAATGGTACTTTTCATTATTTATTTAAATATTTAACTATAAAATATAAAATAATTTTATACGTTATTTTAGTTCGTCAAAATAATTGGCCTCCATTACCAAAAGGATTTTGTTATCAACCATGTTTTTATTTGGATATTAATGTAGAAATTCCGACCGATTTTCAACATGTAGTGAGACAACTATACTATTTATGGTTATGTAAGTTGATAATTAAGTTTTTAATTGAAAACCTAGTGTTAATGTTAATCTTTATTGTATTATAGATCATACTGGTTTGCTTGTATGCAATATATTGATCGCTACTATTTTACTTTTCACTACAGCAGCGATTGGTGTATTTATTATGTCAATTATTTATACTGGAATGTTGGTGCCACTTTCATTTTTATTTTGGTTCCGCCCTGGGTATAAAGCATTTCGGTAAGTAATTAAATATATGTATATATTTTTTATGTATTATATATACATATTCTTTATTTTTCTTATATTATAGTGATGACAGTTCTTTCAATTTCATGCTATACTTCTTCGTATTTTGTATTCAATTTGTTATTTCAATAGTCCAAGCATTGGGTACTAAGGATTCAGGCTATAAGTAATTTATTTTTAAACAAGTATTTATTGACTATTGTGACACTTTTTTTTATTTATTTCTAGTGGAATATTTTCGGCCTTTAGTCTTTATGAAAATGCACATCCATTTTTAGGTACAATGGTCTTATTAATGGGAATTTCTTTTGCTCTTGGTGCAGCAATGGACTTCCTTTTATTGAATAAAGTAAAGTATAACTATTATTATAAAATAAAATTAGGGTTAGTTGGGGTTAGTGCGTCATTGGGGTACTGCATTATTTCAATTTATATAATAATAGATAAATATATTGTAGCAGGCATAAATTAAATATCGAATGAAATATTACTTAAAAAAAAAACAAAATATGTGTTTATATATGGCAACACTGTAATATAAATACTTGAAAATGTAAGTTTGATTAAAGAAATTTCGTTTTTATTAACAACTTTTGTAACATGACATCTTAAACTATAATACTTATTGATAGTTGAATTTAACGATTAAACTGACAAATTTAAGTCAGTATTAACTGAAAATAAATTTTCTATGCGTTTCAGTTATGGTTTTGATTAAATTACTTAAATATTCAATGACGTACTTAACCTGGACAAAAACCTATACAGGGAAAGTGCATTACTTAATATCAGGGCAAGTGCGTCAATTACATAACATTCAAAAACATATGGGTATAGCCTAGGATATAGTACTATGTTTTATTTATAATTTTTATGTTCACGAAATTTAAATTATTTTGGTAAATTGCTTTTATGAGTTTCATTAAGAAAATCTTTTTTTCATAATTATAAACTAATTTTTGTAAATACCCTATCAAAGTCTCATACATTTCTTGGTATAATAAAAAATATATGGGTGATAATCTTGTTTTATAAGATTAAGTAAACTGTTTAGTAAATAATAATTTTAGTAATCAAAAATCTGATTATCTTGCAGTTTTGTTTGAAAAACTATTTAATTTTTGTTTAATTTAATATTTTTGTATTTGTTTTATAAAATTACATTACATTTTTTTCATGTAAATGTTTATTTTGAGACAAGTAATACATTTATTTTACTATTGAAAAAATAAAAATATTCAGAGATTTTTATATTTTGACGCCCTTAACCCCTAGACTTTCCTATACATTTACTTATAGAAATATATGCAGATAACGCACTTACCCTAAGTTATGAGGAAAATGCGTCGTTTGAAATATTTTTAAAAAAAAATATTTTAAAAATTTAATATTAAACCAAATGCATTTCTGATAAAAATATGGATGGCTTATAACTTAAGAAACATATGATACAGCAAAATCATATACCTAAAAGTTAAGCTTGAAAAATAAAATAATTTGAACTTTTTTTTTATCAATGCACTTACCCCTCCTAATCCTATATTTAAATTTTTTATTTTATTTTTATTTTAGATTCACAGAATCTATCGTAGCTCTGGCGCTAGTTTTGCTAAGGCACAAGAAGAATTCCGTTCAGGTGTAATCTCTAGTGGTGCTGTTTCCAACGTCATAACATCTAACATCAGATTTTAAAATAATAAATTATAAATACTCAATATACTATCTATTTAACCCATAATATTACCTTTGAATATAATATATTGTCATCTTGTGTTCCATAATGTATATGTATATATGCGGTTATAAAAAAATATTTTAATCTTTTGCATAATTTAGCGTTATAGTCATTACTCAAATATTTTAATCCATGAATGAAAAGAGCAGATTAAATCATTTTTGTTGGAATCCTTTAAATAATTACTAGGATTTAAAAACCCGTTGGTCATAGAAAAAGTTTTGATGTCCTTAGATTTATTAGGATTTTCATTAAATTATCCTATTAATTATAATCATTTTGTTCTATAGAGTTAAAACATTTTTATGATAATTTATTGTGGTTTTGTTTTGTATACAATTTTTACAACATTAGAATTTTGTTTGTTAATATATTATACTATTCATTCCTACGTATAAGAATTATGTACAAAGTATAATTTGTTTTCTAATCTTGGATTTTCTAACTGCAGTTTTGCCATTAGATGTGCACGAATCAAATAAAAAAAGAAGTATATATATATATTGGAAATTAATAAAGGATATGAAATTGATTAAATGTGTAATTGCTGTAACAACTCCCTCATGTGTTCATTGCATTCAGGATTTTTTTAACGAAAATATCTGCAATCTGCATATTGATTGTATACAATAGGTTATATGGTGGTTTGATTACGAGACTGGACGGCTTATGATCGAATGGGTGTCCAAACGACACTACTTCACTAAGCATTCACTTAAAGTCGTCTGATCTGTTCGAATTATATTATTTCCAATAGTCATCTTGTTTACGAGTACATGACATTGTCAATCGTGCGGGTGAAGATATAACTCCTTTTTCATAGTGCGATGTTGTATAAAATGAATTCAAATGTTTCATTCAACCGGTGCCTAATGTACACGGTCGTATGGATTGGTAAGGGAGCCTGAGAGAGAGAGAATGTTACCGCATATCGTTCGGTAAACTCCTCGCGCTATACCGTGTTCTTGTCAGTGATTACTAAACTCTTTGTGGTCGCGGCCGATAACGACATTTTCAAACGAGCAAGCACGGTTGTCGTCGATTTGCGCCAAATCGTTAATGCCTACACGTCGGCATTGTTTCAAGTCGTAACCTTACCGTCGTGGCCGGGAACGCCACCAACATCTGAACGGCTCGGACGTGCGACGCGCGTTCGCTAACGAAGCGTTCGGATTTTCGGTTATTTTTTCGTCCTGAAAAAAATGGCGGCGCCAACGCCGATTTCTTTTGTTGACGGCATCGATTTCCCTGGCGTCCCTAGCATTTACCCGCCAGCCGTACGCGCACGCGATTGGCCGCCGGCCGGTCACGTGGTCACCAAACATGGCGGACGAAAACGGTTCGCGCGCGTTACGGCGTCCGCTACGCGCGCACTGGGTCACGATCGACGGTGTGCGTGCGTGCGCGCGCCCCGTGTTTTCGCGTGTGTGTGCGTGCACCCGTCCGTACGTTGCCGTGTGCGCGACAGAGACGGAGAGCGAATGAGCGAGTGAGTGGGCGCGCGTCCGTTTGCCGCCGATCGCGTTGGTGTGCGTGCGTGCATTGTATTCTCGGACGCGGTGTTTGCTACATCTGCCTTCTTCGCGTAACGTCCGGTCATTTTTTTTTTATTCCGTTTTCTCAACGGTTTTTTTTTCCCCCTCGACAATTTTTTCGCGTTACGTCTCGCTCGACGTGTCCGCTGTGCCACGATCATTTACGACGACGCTCATCGCACGCTGTTCGCAGTACACCCGTACGTCAACAACGCGTGCACCGTCCGAGGAAAATAAACCTTAGGGTTCCTACTACGCGCGCCCGCCACACGTAAAGCGTCCGCACCGCTGTTGTGTACACACGCATTTTCTCACATTCATTGTTGACGACCGACTTGAAGATGGTACGTTAAGGAAACGCCGCGACGTGTTTATTTTTATAATATTCGCCTGATTTTTATTACGGTTTTGCTTGAATCTTATTTTTATTTTTTACTTAACCGTACTCTAAGCCCAGCAATCGTGTTATTATTTTGTAATAACCCGTTGTCAAGCGGCTTTCCGGTAAAATATAATTCCTTTGTTCAAACGTTTTTATTTTTACGCTCTAGGCTGGTGGCAAAGCAGGTAAAGATTCCGGTAAATCCAAGGCTAAAGCGGTGTCCAGGTCCGCCAGAGCAGGCTTACAGGTATAAAATTTCATGTTTATTACATTTTTTTTAGTGAAAAACACCATAAACATTCAAATTTGATATTACTATAATATGCTAGAAAACCGTTAAACCCCCCCCTCTTTTTTTTCGTCGCTTTGACACTCAAAACGAACATTAGAGTATCTTGAGGATCGTTTTGCGTTCATCATGAAAATTTTTTACAGGTATTCTCTATTTCTCTGCTTACCAATGTTAAATTGTTGGTCATTCATATTGCTACATCAAGCTAATGTTCTTATATGTGCTATTATTGTCAACATGCGTTGTGACTGCATTTAGTTTTGTTTTGTTTGTAAATTATATGGCTTAAAATTCATAACTCTCCAGAGCAATAATTCTTAACTTGTGGTATGTGTATTTGTGGTAAAAGGAGCAAATACTTAATTTGTATTAAATAACTATAATAATTACTAAATATTAATTAATAAATTTGACTATTTAATCTCAAGTAGTAGGTATGTGAACATTTTCAAAACATTGTTGGTGCTAAGACTTATAATGGTTAAAAACTGATTTCATAATGTGAAATATTTCAATTTATATATTCAAAAATTACCTAAAACATGTACCTATACTTGATAATTTTTCATTTGTGTTTAATAAGTTTTAAATGTTCTGTAGTATCTTTTAATAAATATTTAAATTTCATGTTTCATTAATATATTGATATAATTAATAAATTGTTTTCAGTTTCATAATATTTTATTGTACCTATGTAATTCATTACTTCATACAGCCTCTGTTATTTAACTAACATTGTATTGATTTTTTATTAATAGATTTATTTTCAAATCTATATATATAGAGGATGCTTCAAAAAGAACACAGGATTTAAATTTGCTATAAATTAAATTTATTTCTTTTAAAAAAAAACAACAAATATATCAATCTCTTCAGGAAATTTAAGGTTCAACAGTAAAACCAATATAGGGCATATGACTCCCTACTAGTCCTACAGGCATTCTTTTCGTAAAATTTATCATCATTCGATCTCACATTGCCCCATCAAGTTCGTTGAGGACTACGAATTTCTTGCTTAAGTGCTGTCACGTGAGAAGTTCCCGGATAGACTTATTTCGTTGCATAGAGTTCAAAGCTACCCACTTCGATCTTGTGATTTGAAGCTGTATGATTTTTTTTCTTATGGTAATATATTAAGTCACGAGTATATCAGATAAAGTTCAAAATGTTTTGGAATTTAAGCAAGAAATTTGTTGTGTCCTCAACGAACTTGATGGGGCAATGTTTGTCCGAATGATGATAAATTTTATAGAAAGAATAATCGCCTGAAAGGCTAGTGAAGAGGGTCATATAATTGATATTGTTTTTTTACTGTTAAACCTTAACTTCTAAAGAGAATGATATATTTACTATGTTTTTTTAAAAGAAATAAATTTAATTTATAGCAGATTAAATCCTGCATTATTTTTAAGTCTTATTGCTAAGGATTTTGTCCTAAACATGAATACTCTTACTTGCCGTCATCAATCAAACCTTTGTTAGTTAAAATTTTCATTTTACTAGTTTGTGATTAAAGACAAATGCACCTATGTATAGTGTATTTTTATTATATTAACATAAAATTTTTTTTTTTTTTACAACTGTTACGACATAATAAAAGAGAATAATGTATTTGTATTATAATATGTTAATAACAGAGTCAATTATATTAATTTCCATTAAATAGTCTTATCAGACATATTATTTCACAATTTTTAATTACAAAATAATAATTCTTGTGGTATTCATTTAAGTGGTAACTCAAATTCTATCTTCTGATAGAATGATGTATTGTAGAGATAGAAATAGGTAGATGGACAATTTTACAAGAAAAATAGTTCATAAATTTTAAATTAAAATAAAAATGGTAAATTTATATAAAAAAAAGTCGATCCTATATAAGTTTTATTAATAGTGTATTTTAACAGAATTGAATGATATTTATTCAGTTTATATTCTGAAACTAATAGAATTCTAAAAAAAAAAAATTGTATTTACATAATTTGATATTTGAATTTAATTTAAATATATGTAAATTCATAATAAATATTCTTCTATTCCTTTTAAATTTGAATTCATTATCCTAATTTCTAGTTGTATAATTTTATTATTTTGTAGTTTCCAGTGGGCAGAATTCATCGTCACTTAAAGAATCGTACAACAAGTCATGGTCGTGTTGGAGCTACAGCTGCTGTTTACAGTGCTGCCATTTTAGAATACTTGACTGCTGAAGTAAAATTATTTTAAAATTATATATTTTTATATATTTAAACATTTTAAATAATAATTAAATATAGGTACTTGAGTTGGCTGGTAATGCATCAAAGGATTTAAAAGTGAAGCGTATCACACCACGTCATTTGCAACTTGCCATTAGAGGAGATGAAGAATTAGATACACTCATCAGAGCAACAATTGCTGGAGGAGGTGTTATAATAATGGTACTGATTTTACGTTCAGAATACTTACCTTTCTTTTTTTCTTTTAGGTGTTATCCCGCATATACACAAGTCCCTCATTGGCAAAAAGGGATCTCAAAAACCACAGTAAAACTCCCCGCCGCACAAGACTTTGATTAAGATGTAAAACATTTATTTTTAATTTGTAAGCTATGTAATATGATTTTCTTAATTGATTTGTCATTTGTACTTTTGCCTTGAAAATAATTGAATGAGTTTTATACCTCGTATATTATAACTGATTGCATTTGCTACTTTAGTATGAGTGCTGGAGGTATAAAACCTTATGGCATATTGTGACATAAGACTTTTTATTATTTGGTTAAGACAAAATAAACTTTGACTTTTTTTTAATATCAATTTTTTTCATTTAAATTATATCAATCGGAATATTTTTTCGATTACATAAATTCTAGGGTATACAATATTTTGATTATTATTCACTTTAAAATATAACAAATATATGCATTTCTTTTTATAATTATTGTATATATATATTTATTTCATAGAGACATGTAGAAATCTTGAATTATAACTAATTTGATAAAAAATTCAGTTCTTAATTTTATTTATCATAGTAGGTAATATTCTTACAATTATATTAATATATAAAATAGTTTAAGGATAACTTATAGAATTAACAGTATCCTATTTCTGCACATACACTTTCATCTTTAATATCATCCAATATAGTGTTGATGATTTTATTTGAATATTCTTCCACTAAGTTAATGCACTTATCCTTGTCAGGTAATGGATCACATAATGCTTCCAATCTAAACTTAATGTGCTCCTTAAAAATAATATTTACTCATATTAATACTTTAATTTTTATCTTATTATATATCCATAAATAATTCTTACTTCAATTTTAGAGCTTTTGATTTTATTTTTGATATCATGTATCACGTCCTTGCAAATTGTACATTTTGGATGAAATTTTCTTACTAAAAAATGAAAAAGTGAATTAGCATCATTTTTGTTTTTTTTTTTTATAAAATAAGATTGATTATGAAATTTTACCACATGGTTGAGTACAAGTAGGCCGCATCAAATTTATTAAACTTCTAATGAGCCAATCGTTATTGGTGTCTCGAGCATTAAGTGTACAACCAAATTTTAGAAGTATAATCATACCAGTCACCTTGAACACAAAAAATGACATTGGCAATCTTATTGAAATTTAATTTAATATCTTAAGAAAATAGTATTGGCGCAAAAAATAAATTACAAACATTTGTTTAAATAAATATGGTTTATTAACATTTTTTATTACATTATGAAATGATTTCTACATCATAAATAAAAACATACACATGAAATTTTAGTTTTAATTAAATTTATGCTACAGATATATTTTACTATTGAAAAGGAAATAATGACAAGTATATTCTAGTTTTCTGGTAGAGCAGTACAATTTTTTAAATAAAGTAAAATTAATAATAGTATATTTGTTTTTGTAATACGTAAATAAGATTTAAAAAACAAAAATGCATGATACATTTAACTTGAAGTTAATATTAAATTAATTTCTAACTAAATTGTTTTATTTTATAATAAAAAATGAAACAACTTTAGTCTTACTCATTAACTATTGATGAGTTGTTATTACGAACAATTCATAAACGTACTTAAATTTATTTTAGTAATTTTAGATATTGATTTATTGCCAAAATTCAAATGATTATGAAATGTATTTAATACTTATGAAACTTATACATTTGATATCGATAAATTGTAATGTGTAAAAATATATTTTATATTAATCATTGAATAATACGAATAAAGACTGGGATACATTGTTGAAATATATAAAATAAAAATTATAATATAATTATAAGAAGAAAAGGTTGGCTCATTTTTTTCAGGCTTAGCCTCTAACATAATATAATATCAAACAAAAATAGTAATATATTTAAAAACCCCAATCAACATACAATGAATAATTATTAAGTCTAAAGTCATTAAATGTAAGTCATTAATTATATTATAAATCTCGAATTATCACGACACGAGCGTTTAATAATTATACAAAATATCACTTCATTTTTCAATAAAATTCACATTCCATGTAGTGCGATTGCATAACATCTCAGCCTGAAAAAAAAATTATTAATAATCACAAATCGCAATGTAATAAAAATTTAAATAGTCATAAAAAGATTCTAAGGCGAAGAAAAAAAATAAGAAAACAAGAATGAACGGAGGGTTATCGTAAAATTGTATTTTTAGAGAGTTGATACAGAAATAAATAATGATTATTAGTGAACATATATAAATATCTATAAACATTTTCAATTTTAATATATTAAATTTTAAAATCTCAATAAATGATAGGGCCAATTTTTTTGAATCATTAATACTTAGTAGAATAACTAAGTCGAGCCTTGTATTCAAGTGATAGCATAAAAATATTTAATATTCCATGTTTGAAAACTACAAGATTTATAGTGATGGCTCACTACACTAATGTAATAAAAACACATGGTGAAGGAATTATATTCTTTATATTGCTAAAAAATTAGAATTTTCTTTTTAGAACAATTTTAAAACAGTGTTAATATAACCATGGTTAGCTTTCTGGTCTAAAAACACTAATGAGGTATACACTACACATATGAATAATATATAGTAAGTGAAATTGAATTCAATATTTACCTTGCACTCTTTGGCGTTATCTTTAGAAGCACACCAATAATTGACACCTTTTAAACACTCTGTATTATTCAATTTGTTGACTGCAACACTCTTATTTTTACTGCACAATGACATTTTTTCGCACATCATCCATGTAGGCAATTGATGATAAAGATTTTTGAATGTTTGATTGTATGAGTTTATCATCTCCAAACACTGCATATAATAGTTATTTGTGTGAATTTCAATAGTTTTTAGAGCACGTTAATGTTTATGATTTCAACGTACACATCCCAAATATATATGACCACACAATGTAAGAAGAACCATCAATAACAGTATTCTGGTGCATATCCATTTGTGAAGAGATGAATACAAGAAATATGTTAAAAATTAACATCTGATGGGGAGTTAATGAACTATCAACTATATAACTAATGGCTTTTATTATCTTCGGGGGAATAAATGCAAACAATAATAACATCACATAACCTAAATGGACTACAATTCTAGAACAGCGGGAGAATAGTGAGTTATAAATTTACCTGCTCCTTGTGTTTTATATCAACTTCATAGCATAACTCCATTAAATCTATTTCATCAATGTTGACTGATTTGTTGTTCAAACGATCATTGAACACAGAGACAAATGCTTCACATACAGCACACTCACTGGAAGTATCTAATTCTACAGGTTTTGTTGTAGTTGGCTGCATAACCTCACTCATCTTTTCAATATTATATTTAGTTTCATCTGTTTAATATAATATGATAGTAAATAGTTTTACATATTGTATAGTAAAAAATGCAGTTCTCTTATACCAATTACTTCTTCGCAGACCATTAACGCCATACATGCTATGGCTGGGTTAGTTCCTATTTTTAAAGCATTTATAATTTGTCTATAGTTTGTATAAATAAAGATCTCACATTCACTTTCTTCGACATTTGGTAATATTCTGCACACTGAATTCATAACTTTTTCAATTTCATCCTAAAAAAAGTAAATAATTACAATAGATTTTAAAACAAAATTAATATTTTTAAAATTCATTACAAAATGAAACATACTTGATTTGATTTGTCTTCGATCTCAGAATTCAGATATTTCATAACAACAGTACAGACCAGACAAAATGGTGTTGGAATTTTCGGTTCTTCCAACATTTTGTAATTGTTGGCCAATAATTGTCCCATATTGTACCCTGGCAACACAACTGTGACTAGTCCAGAAGTGGCTATCATATTTGATTCTAAACAAAGATACAATCCTTTTAATAGTAATATTAAATAAATAAGCTTATCCAAATTTTCAATAAATTTAACTAAAAAATAAATAGGAAGAATAGTTAAATTTTCACATACCAATTTCATTTGCAGCGCTATCAGAGATGGTTTTGGGTGTACAAATATTTAATAAAACACATATTTCTTGAGGTGGAATTTGAGCAATCAACATGTCAAGTATACTTTCTAAATTATTTGTAACAAAATCTGAGCATTTTGCTTTCCAATTAGTTGGCAGTTTAGTACATAACTTTTCCAATGTATTTTTCAATTCTGCCTACAAGTTAAACAAGGATTTGCTATAATAAGTTAAATTTAATTGGTTCTAAGACATATTTGGATTTAGAGTTTAACCATATTAATACCTCATGGAGGTTATATAAATAAACTACTAAATCATTAATAATATTTTATCTAATAGAAATAAAAAATCTGGATTCCAATAATTTCACTAATTAATGAACAGTATGAAGTATACTTACTTCAGTATTGTTATTAGAGATATCAGATTCTAACGCCGACATAAAAATAATACACATTGAGCACTCCGGGATACTTTCACTATCTTTGTTTGTGATTATAGATAGATCTGTAGCTGGACATAGTTTGAGTTCGGGACAGATCTAAAGAAATAATAATCATCAAATAAAGTACAGAAAATTATTTTGGATCACTCACAATAGATGGATCAACTTCTTGAGCTATAAGAGAAATAAATGCATCTCCATATTGATCAATGAATTGTTTACATTGTGATTCATATGATGATGGTACAATTAAGCAGGACTTTTCTAACGCAGAACGAATTTCTTCTTCGGATTTTGGATCAGTAACAACTTGTTGAACATAATTTAAAATTGACTGACAGAGAAAACAAGCAGTTTTATCCGTAGGCATATCCACATTAACTGTGAAAATATTATTATTATTATATTTACAATGTATTTTTATCTTTTTAATATGCAATCTTACCAACAAAGTGCATTTGCTGAGTAAAGATATCAACAGTAGATTTTTTAATATCCTTAACTTTTGGTGGCTGTTCATCAACCACAACCTTCTCTTTTTCAGTGAATGAATTGCTTGCTTCGGTTTGTAAAAGTTCAACTGGAATAAGAGGGTATCTTGGCTATATATAAAAAAAAAAAATTGTTCAACAAATTAAAAACTTAATTAAAAACATAGCTATCATTATTTACTTACTGCAATATAATCCTCACTATAACGAGTATTGGGGCAGATACCGATTATTGAACAGAGTACTTTTCCATTTAATTCTGTAAGAAGAAACTGATACACACGTCCATAGTTGTTATTGACCATTTCTAAACACTAAAATGAGATATTGAACACATAATTTACACAATTACTTAAGTACCGATTAAAAATATATTTATATGATTATAGATTTTACCTCTTGTGAGAATGATCTGGTTTGTTTACAAAGACCGGTGAGCACATCTAAAAATTGTTCTTCGGTTGTATTGGCTACTAAAATATCTCTTAAATGTTTAACCATGCTTTCACAGAATTCACAAGTCAAATCATCACTAACTTTCTTTTTTTTATATGATTTTTGAATTCTACCACGTTCACCAGCATTATTGATTTCAACATCCATTAAAAGACCTTTTGATTCCTAAATACAAAAAAATTGTTGAATAAAATATTTTTTTAGATAATATATTTTAACTAAATTCTTACTTCATAATCATCGGCATAGGGTTGGAATGAAGCAGGACACATTCCACTTAACATACATACATTACGTATACTGAAGTAATTTTTAAATCCATTGTAAATTTCATTGTTATACCTTAATACAATACTACTGCATGCATCAGAATAACTGCTTAATTCTCCACACATCTTAAAAAACAAAATATTTAGCTGTTTATCATAAGTATAAAGTTATTTAACTTACCATCAGTACTTTATTTAGAAGATCATCTCTAGACATTTTCTGTACTAAATCTTCACCTTTGTCCATAGCAATAGCACATTTTTGACAATCAGAGTATTCAGTAGAAACTTCTAGTTGTTTCTATATAACATAATTTTGATTAATATAAATAAAAAATGTTAATTAGAAAAGTATAGTTACATTTTCACTATTTCTCAGTAGTTCATCAATGCGTTCATTATTACACAAACCAGAAACAGTGCAAACAACATTTGGATCCATTTGTGAAGCCAAAGTATCAACAAGTTCTGGTATGAATTCATCAGATAATTTTTTACACTCATTTTTAACAATTTTCAGTGGTAATAATTGACAAGATCCATAGAAAACTTGTTTCAATTCGTCCTAAAATAAAAAATTAGTATTTAACAATTCAAAGAAAATAAAGTTTAGCATAGATTTGACAATACTAGTTTTTAATATCTTTTTAGTCCAATGATCTGGAAAGGACAAAATATAAAGTATAAAAAATATTGTATGTTGAAAATTAAATTGCTTTCCATTTATGTTTTAAAGAATTTAATATTTAGTATAAAATAAAAGTTTAAATTTTTAAAATGAAGTTTTGTTCACTTATTATGTTAAATTTTTGTACAAACTGAAATCAGTTAAAATTGTTTTTACTATAATAATTATTTGATTTAAAGTTATGGTGTGAACTAATAAAATCTAATACAGAACTTAGCTTTTTTCTTCATAAGAATATTACAATAGGTGACTAGAATTTAAGTACTTACGGCATTAGACATAAATTTATTAGACATAAAATTAAATTGTTTTTTAAGTAAATATACTTCAACAATACAAAAATATTTAATATTAAGTAATTAGTGACTAACCAATGTAATGTTACTCTCTAGTGTGTCACGAGCTTCTTTCACCATGTTTTTGCAAATAGTACAAATATCATCATTGTCTTCTGGGTAATATTGGGTTTCCCAAGTTGTTTGAATACAATGATTAACAGCTTTGCATTTAGCTGCAGTTCTAGAAAAAAATTAAATGTTTTTATGATATTATTTGAAATTATTTGGAATAAATAGTTCAAATGAGTTGGATTAGCAATACTGACTATCAAGGGATCATCGGTAACATTTTTTTAATAAAAAGAAATTAAAACATATATAAATTGGTCTGCACCTAGATGCACCCAATTGGAAATTTCCTGATACTCCAATATGATATCATTGCCTAATTTTGTGTGCTACTCAAAAGCTTATAAATATATTGATATCTTAGTACACAACTGCCATATACTTGATGTGCATTTCTTGAAGCACACTTGATTGACCATTAATTTTGAGTCATACACAAAGATATGGTAACCAAATAGAAAAATATATCAGCTGGAGTACCACGAGGTATCGTTTTTAGATCTACCTTGTACCACAGTATTGCTTAACAACATTTCCAGGTGGTGGATGTATTGTTAAATTTTTTTTTTAAAAAGAGGCATCTATCTTGTACGTGTTCTACATAGCTGATATAAAAATGACAATACAACAATAGCTATGTTCGCTGACAATATATCAATTTTGTTGATATGTAAAAACTAAATACATCTAATAGCTTAAAAAATTAATTAACAATTTTTTTGTTTAGATTAGTGATTGGAAATTAAAATAAATGGTGAGAAATCAGTATACTTTAAATATAGGTTATGTAAAACTGAAAACATTGTACAGAATCAAATAATTCTACCCAATTTTTTAGTATAAACCCTTGGAATACATCTTAACTCTTGACTCAGAAAATTAAGACTCTGATTAAGACAGAGCAATGGAAAACCCTAAATTATTTTTACTCGTTATAAACATAATTACGACCAAAATATGTTAGATATGTGTTGAATGAAAATATTTACTTAATAACAAAGAAAAAAAAATAGAGATGTGGATACATTGTCTTTATCATAGTGCAATTAGTGAACATTCTGTTTTCAAATATTTTTATTTGTATTATTAATCAATTTTGAGCTTTAAAATTGTTAAATAATTTTAAATAAATTATGGAAATATTATTTAATTATAAAATTAAAATTATTCATTGTCATTAAGTTCTATCTTGAGTAGGATTCTTCATGATGATTGCAATTCAACCACTACCCTCACATTAGTTATGTTTATTCTAAAAATATATATTTATAGAATTTATAAATAGATTTATAAATTAAATTTTTTTTTTTTTAATTTACAATTGTTATATTATTTTCTTAGAATAAAATTAATCGAATACACATAACATAACATTAACAATGAATAAATAAAAATAAAGTTACTGGTTTAAGTAAAACTATTGTTTAATTTTAAAAAATAAATGTAAAAATGTAATATTATTCATTGATTTATAATAATATTTATAAGTAAAATTAAAAACAAAATAAAAACTTGTTATGAAACTAGAACAGTATATATAAAGTTTTAACTATAATCGGTTAAATTAAAAAATTAAGTAGTTAAATTTGTTATTAAATTAATATAATGTATATAAAATGATTAATAATCTTCCCATCAATCCAAGCAATTGGCTTTATACCAAGATTTAATAATAAAAATAGTCAACAATTTAGAAACTAAATAGGTTGTAAAGAATTCAATGACAAAATACCTAACAATAAAAATACAATGAGGGCAAAAGCAAATAAACAATTTACCTTTTGTTAAGCAATAAAACATTACTAATAATTTATTGTTTAATTTAAATTAAATTAAAAATTAAAAGGACTTTCATGTAGACAAATCAATTGTATTTAAGACAAATACTGACATTATTTATGTGAACATTTTTAAAAATAGGTTTTATATTTTTTTCATTCATTTGTTGATTTTTTTTTTTTTTTTGGTGATATTTTACTTATAAAATTAGTGTAAGCCTTACAAAAGTAGTTTTTAACAAATTGAAGCAATGCAGTGAATAACAAAGCTTTACAAACTATGTCTTATCAATTTTTAGAATATGATTGTACAGCTGCATAAAATATATGATAGCATGACTAAGCATGTATTATTTAGTCAAGTTTCCTATTTCTCAGGGTTAACCAGTATGAAAATATCTAATACCTTTAATCAATTCAAATATAAGTTATATATGTTCTTATTTTTAAATTTGTTGATAAGAATACATTTATATAATTTATTTATGCTATTAAATTATCAGTTCTTCAAATAAAATTAATGATATTCAAAAGCACATAAACAAATGTTATTATTATTAATGATTCATTATCTAAATTCTAAAGGTACCTGATATATTATTAGCAAAATTAACCGATAGAATACAAAGAAAAATTTAGTAATACATAATGAAACAATATAACTTATTCGGAATCAACTGTATCTACATTATATAATAAATTGAATATAAAATATCTAAAATGTATATAAATTACTGTAATAATACTACGGGGATTTTAATTTAATAATTCAACAATCAAACTAGTCTTATTACAATAAAATATAACATGTTGTTGACATCCCATAACAATAGTGAATCTTATATTCATTGAAATACAATCTAAAAAAAATTATAATCTAAAGGTAATAAAAAGTCATGATTGGAACACGCCTATAGTGTTTTCTTGATTAATTATAGTTACAATAATATCAAGCCACTTTACGATGCAACCCAACGATAATGTTAAAACCAAACTTATACTTACTTAAGAGTTGAGCACCAATATCCTGGGCCATATGTACATTCGTTCAGCCCCAACTGTTTGATGTGTTTTTGATGGATGACATCTTCGACGCCACCGGTTAAAGCACCTGGATCACGGAAGAAAAAATGATTATTAAAAAAAAAAAAAACAAGCATCGGCCTCCTTAGAGAGCCGATCCTACTCCACTCACCTAAAGACGACGTAGCTAAGAACCCGAAGACGGCAAGGGCACAGCAGAGGAGTACAGAGGTACCCATGGTTCTTGTGTAGGGCACACGCGTTCGGGAACGTGTGTGTGTACAATCGGCGGCACAAAGGCACAAAGGTCAGGCGAACGTGGAACACAAAGGGAACGCAAAGCGCGTTACAGCGGACGTGTGACGAGAATGAAACCACGAGACGGGACAAACACAACTGCGACGATGATGATAATGAAACCGAACGGTGGCGGCGTCAGCTCGCGCTCCTTGAACGGTCGTGGAGGGGCGGTGAGGGGTTAGTGCGCTGGTCGGTTATAGTTGTTATTACGTCGTGTTTATACGCATAGGTATTTTTCGTTATATTATTATTATTATTTAACAAAGCGGTTCGAAACGTGTGACGCATGCGTACGTTGCGCAGTCCGTTCTGCGGGTCTCCCTCACCGCTCCGTTCATCCGTTACGCGTTCGCTCGAACCTGATAAGCAATACAATATTCAAATGAGTTTCGTATCGTTTCGCCAACGCATACCGATGTCTATAACCATCGAAAGCCGCGTCCACACCAAGAGAACGTTGTCGGATACAAATGTTTAAAAATGCGTCCAACAACATTGATCAAGTAGAGAAACGGTCACGTCATGAAATACATCTACTCTTCGAGTAAAGATGTCACATGAACATGATGCTGCGATTGCCGCGACCTAAAGAAAAAAAAGCATAAAAGATACATAGTGGTTGTGTGACACGATGGTGGATTTTCAAAGAGATTGAAAATTATACCATGATTACCAATAATACCAGGTAAACTGGTGAATTAAGGTACCATTGTTTAAAAACTATTGAACATGGTCTACAATTAATTTATAATTATGTCTGACATTTTTATTTGGAATTGCACTAATTGTTTTGTATTTTTTAAGAAAAAAATAATGATTATCATCAGATGTAACGGTAGGTATAAAATTTTTTTGCTTATGTTTAGCGAAAATTTTGAAATATTAATTAACCTTGTTGGCTATCGAATTTCCAAAAATGATACAAATTTTCGAAAACCTATTCCAGTGAGTGAACGATTGTCATTGCTTAGCCATTTTGTTTTAGCTAGTGGTGACTTTTTTACGACAGTTTAATGTATTTTTGAACTGGTCTGGGCCTGTAAATACATTTTATCCGGCAATGTCTGTATATATATTTTAATGTTTACAAGCACAAGTTGGGGAACAAAATATTGTTGGTGACAGTGTGGGTATGCGATTCGGAAGTAAAATTTATTAAAAATATATTCCAAACTTTGTCGGCAACAATTGTATAAGACAATATTTCCTTGGTGTGGACGCAGCTTCACAACCACAATATCATCAACAATAATAATATCATCGTTTTCGCGTTGAGAAAACATCGTATTATCGTGTACGCAATCGCTATGATTTTTCTTTTGCACACACGACCGCCACCATGTGCCCTTGAGAACGATTATTTTCATTTTTACGCTTTTCTTTTTACGCTCCCTCGGTTTAGCAGTGTACCGTGTAGTATGTATAACTTGCAAACGTTTAGTTGGCTCTACGCGAGTACCTTACTATCCTTATTGTTACGTTGCTGGACATTATTGTTGAACTCATTACTCGAATAAACGAGTTTAAGTTTGATCGCTCTGATTGAAAGAAGTAACTTCTGCAAACGGTTAGTTACTTGATGGACCACTTATAATGTCAACAAGTCATAATGGCTTTATTAGATTTGTACTTTGTAGTTTATATTTAATGTTATAACTTTGTTCGTTAATTTTCAAAGGTTTTACGATTGAATAATTCTGCAATCGACCAATACAGTTGATCATTGATGCGTGAAAAACGATGTATAATTTTATGAGTCCGTGAAAATCAAAAAGCGAAAATAAACATGTTTTTTATCTACATATATATAATAAATATTTTATATTTCTTAGTGTGTTAACAAACATCGTGGCTATAGGATTTAGTCGATATCACGTGATTCTTGCACTTATTACAAATTATAATTTATTTTGATAACCAAATAATCACAATGTATTGAAATTTACAATTAGCGTACAATACTATAAATCTCACTGTAAGGGTCTGAAAGGATGAGGGTTTTAAAAAAATGTAAAATTTAGAATGTTGATGTACACCGTTTATGTGAATTTATAAACTAAATGTTATTTATTTATTTGACTCGGAAATCATATGGAAACTATTGAAATAACTATGTATTAAATTTTTAGGTTAGGTAATATATTTTATTATTTTATATATTTTTTACATTTTTCCTTGACATTTTGGGGAGGGGGTTGAATCCCTTCGCGTTCGTGAATGGTAAAGGTGATCTATAGTCATATTTTAAAATTGTAAAATAAATTGTCTATTGTAGCTCAAAAATCCAATGCAGGTTTATAAAAAAATGTATATAACACATGTAAATATTCTATTTTTAAGTGTTCACCAAAATCATGAGAAATAAACTAGGTGAAATGTCTTGAAGACATGTTGTAGAAATAGATATTGGGAACTGACGACTTGTGGTTCCCATCGCAATCAGTAGCACACACGTTATGGCTCAAGGGGACAAAAATTAAAAAAATTAAATGGTGAGTGGTCGTTGACTGTTATTATAGGCCTTATGGACGAGTATTGGTCAATATTATAACTTATTGTGTTGTTCATGCACCTAGTGTACGGCTATTATTATGCAATAAAGTCTATTTTAAATATTTTTTGGGTGGGTTGGTGGACGATATTAGTACATGTTATACCCATGTTAGTAAGATTGATAAATGCGTGCCACTGTTCGTAATTATGGCATACCAACCTTATTGTAAATCTTGCACTCGGTTTCAAAGTTTTTTCTTTTCGCGGCGCACGGAGCCATGTCACCATGGAGTAGTATAGGTGACTGCAAGTTAAACCTAACTTGAGTACAGCAGTAAGGTGCTGTATAATTAAAAATTAATTTAATATTCGTTTTAATGAAGAAAATTTGAAAATTAGATACGAATAGGAAAAAAAAAAATTAAATCATAGATATAATTAAGGTATCAGGCGTACGTTTAAAACATGTAATAGAAAGCTATTTATATTATGTACTTGGATTATAATACATATTTGATTGATATAATAAGTAGTTATTTTTTTTCTTATACTTTGTTCTATAATCGAAGCTATTTTATTTAAATATATATACAACTTAATCCGGAAATCACTTATCACTGAACTGTAATATTGACCATAATAATATTTGTCATTAAAACATATTACTAGTTAGTCAACTAATATTTCTAATTTATATAAATATTATAGTTCAATAAATGACAAATTTATTTGGAACCTCAATTAAATCTGTATTCTTTAATACGAAAAAATAAAAACGAAAATAAGATAAGATAAAATAAAATCTATTGAAAATACGTTTGGATAGTTTGTTTAATAAATTTATTAAATATTAAATAAAAATTAATTGAATTTCTGAAATTAAAATATTTTATATAATTAAATATTTTTACACGTTAAATTGTATAATGATATCATTGCGATTTCAATCCATTATTTGGAGACTTTGAATTGTTAGAAAACTATCGTGTACCTATAAAGTATACAGTATACACTGATTTGAGCCTATTTTTTTCATAATGGTTTTTTTTTTTTTTTATATAATTTATATCGATTGTTTAATGAAGTACATTAGTATACTACGATACATCACTGTAATTTGTTATATCTTTGATCGAATCGTTTTTATTGTTTTCGAAAGACTTTCGTCACTGGTAGCCGGTTGTAACGACCAATCGTCCCCTACAGCGATAATGAATACCGCTCATAAGAAACCTAGTCATATTGATTTTTTTAATCAGATGTTTTAAAGAACAAAAAATGTTGTTCATTTTTAATGTTTACTCGTGCATTGTGTCGACACACGTTTTTCGACGACCGTACACTTTTTTGTTTACATGTTTACATTATCGACTGTCGTCGATAGAGTAAATAATAATAAAATAAAATAATAAATAATATCGAGTCGATTCTGTGTACGCATTGAGCACAGGGCCAGCCATGCGGTGGCAGACTCACGAGTCACAACAATGACTGCCGTTTGTAACTCTCAATTGCTAAATATATTGCTACAATGTTGGTTATATTGCGTTCGATTTAAAATGAACCCATGTTAAAAACGGATGTGCGTTCCTTTTGGCCGAATGCATATTACAATCGTTATTTATTTGTCATTTTAGATCGAACAATACGGTCATACACACACACACCCCCATATACACACACACACACGTACGCAGGTGCGCACTCGCACTCACAAAAGTAGGCATCTAGGTAGAGGTAGTGGCTGTGTTTTTTTTTGTACTGAACAGACGGCTCGTGTAAATAAACGATCGTACAAATATATAATCACACGCAAAGCGATTTGTAAGAAACCACGTGTACCACCACCGGGGGCACTTTTCGGATTCTTTCTCATATTGTGTGCTGCAGCCCTGCAGGAGAAGGTACTTATATGTATATATATATATATATATATATTTATATATATCATCCAATTCGTCGAATCTCCGGAATTCCAATCTTCTATGCAACGTGTGATCAACTGAAAATATCCTTTCAGAAAGGACTGTGACGACAATGCCAACGCAAAGAATAATATTTACGTAAATTCAGCTTCGATTTTTGTGTGGTAATTTTTACGGAAAAATTATTATTTTAGATTTGGGGCTTTAAATTTAATTAATTGTTTTTTTTTTCAAATTTATTATCTAATATATAAACTATTTACTAAACATTATGTGTACCTACATAGCCATTTACGAATTATATATAAACAATTTAATTTACCTATATAAACATTTTATTTGGGCCACTTATTGTGTCATGTACCTACACATGTATGCGGTGAAATATGCTTTACAATTCTTACATTGCTTTAGTCGAAAACTATTTGTGATCGGTGAGAAACGTGAGGGTTTAAACTTTATATCTGTTTTTCAATGTAAATTAGTAATTTTTATTCTAAACAACAGTAAATTAATATTTTTGACATGATGCTCCATGACTCATTGTACATTTGGTTTATATAGTATACATTATAATGCTTAGTTATCTTAATATTGCACTATTGTTGCAGTAACCATAACTCGTGTATGAGTCATAATAATCCAAGTTTAAATATCAGTATATTAAATATTGACTTGCAGATATGCTATTATTTTTATTTATTTATATAGGCAAACAAGGTATAAATATGAAATACATTAATATTATATTGTACATTTATAAGTTAAAGAAAAATATAATCACCATATTTTTTACATACATTTAATAAAAAATAATAAGTAATAGGTACAAAAATGGTTAACATGATTGATGGTTACTGATGAGTTTATACTTTTGATTTATTAAAATTATGGGTCATGGTATGTAGGGGCGGAACTAGGGGGTGAAAGACGGGGATACATCCCCAGGCTTAAAATTGTAAAAGATGTAATTTTTGTAGTTATTAAAAACTAGTTTGGTGTTTATAATTATGTTAAGTACTGATATTAGGCACAAAACTCAATAAGTATGACTTTATGTTATTTATTACAAAAAAATTGTCGCGAATTGTATTTGATTATTGGTCAATGATAGGGCATAATCTTAACGTTTTTCTCGGGCGTAAAAATTCCTAGTTATACCTCTGATGTTATGGCAGCTCAATAATAGGTGTATAGTAATTTAAATGCCGTAATAAAATTTTGGAATTACTTAAATCTATTAAATATTTAAAAACTATACTTAGATCAATATTAGTTTTAAATTATTAGTTATTAATACCTATAACGTTAAAAATTATTTAATATAAATATAATTTTAACAGTTTAAAAATATTTCTATAAAAGTTAAATTAAATTTACAAATAAATTCAAATAAACGTAGGTATATGGTAAATGAATCTGTAAATAATAATATATCTATTGTCTTATGTTCAAAACTTCCTTTATTGTTTATAATCAATATTGGAGATTTTTTAAAATGTATTGTCATATAAAAGTATTTTATTATTTTAATCTTACAAAATTACACTACTATATCTTGGAAGAATAGATTTATTTTATGTATTAGTTGATTTTGTCTACTTCATGAGCGCATACATGTATTAAAATATTAATAAATTAAATACAAACGTCAAATTTGATAACCTAAATTACGAGTATTAGTGTAAGTTGATGTAAACAAGTTATAATAATATAATTTATTAAACTTCCTAAGCAGTGCTCTACTTTGGGAGGACGCAGGGGGACTGCGTGTCCCTTCTAATTTTTAGAAATTTGAGCATCCCCTACTATTATGATATTATAACTATAACGCTCAACAAGTTTTGGGGACGCAATTTTTTTTAAGCAAACAGAGTCTCCCTTCTTTAATTTTGCCAAGTCGAGCACTGTTCCTAAGACATAAACAGTAAACATTTTAGAATATGGCAACATGTACCAATAAATATCATTGATTATAAAAGCTAGTATTTATAATCAATGATAATATTAAATAGGTACCTATTATATACATTTGATAATAATGTCTTTAAATATTATGTTTGTACACTATACATAGTTTTTAAGTATTAAAATAATTTTATAAGGAAACGTATTTGTTTCAATTTCTTATTTGATATAAAATTTGTACTATAGATATTAGTATAAAATTGGAAAAAGTATAAGTTTTTAATTTAAATAAAATATTATATCAATAATAAATATAAATTTTCAACATAGCTACAAAAACTAATATATAACTAAAATATTCCATGCATGGATGAGCTATGAGGAACTAATATATTGAAGGCTATAAGATACTTTATATACAGCATATTTGTATAAAGTAGTCAATCCATCTTTTTTTCGAACAATTGATAATATAAAATTATGACAAAAGAAAAAAATTTAAAATTATACTTCTCTATACATAATTTGTTCGTATAGTTTTTAATTATAAAAAATGTTTCAGTACAATATATGTATTAAAAATTTAAGATTAACCAACTAGCAATAGTCAGTTATATAGCTAAAAGCTTAGTTTAATACTTTTTGTTGTACTTTTTTGTAATCTGAAATATAAGTACTATCCGCTTTATTGCTACTAGAGTTCTGTTATTTGCAAGGTTGGCATGTATAATTATTTAATTAATACATTTTAAATATGCCCCTAGGGATTATATTATAGTATAATAATAAAACATAATAGTTCTTGATGGTTTATTAAGAAATATGCTGGTAGGCATTATGTGTAAGTATATATGTATACAATTTAAAATCATTTGAAATTAACTTGGTTATCAGAAGCAGCCACTAATCATTAAATTGTTGGAATTCGTAATTGTATACGATGAAAATAATAATAACGTACAATGATTAAAAATTATTAATATCCTTAATTCTATATAATTTAATTTTATCACAGTAAATAAGTGTATGGAATCATAGTGTTTCATTATACTTTTATCATGAGTTTTGAATAATAGAGTGATAATAGTAAATGTAATAATATAATAATGTTATTTGTTTACACAAAGCCGTAGCAAAAAGGAATAGAGGTGCCTACGCTCCGGGCGCAAAAATTAAAAATTTGCATTTTATGTTAAAAATTACAACGGTCAATGTTATATTTGAACATATGAATATTATATAATTATATATTATATATTTTTATATACTATAACAACTTCAATATTTTTTTTATTAATTAAAGCAATTGTATAAAATAAACCCAATAATAAAACTAATATTTTTAATTTAAAAAGGGTGTATTTGAAGTTTCACCCCGGACACAATGTCTAGTTTCTACGGTACTGTGGTTATATAAATAAAAAACATATTGCATACTCGTGAGACGTGTTATATAATTGGTAAAAAAAATCAGATTATAAATAAACGTGTATTTAATACGTGTACTTATCAAGGGTTAACAATTTTATAAGTATTGTAGTAATTAAATATTTAAATTAATCTATATTATATATTACATGAGGCATATTACTATAGTAATTATTATTTTATTTTATGAAATAGACTTGTTTATAAAGAAATAAGTTCTACGATCACGTATATTATTATATGACTAGTTAAATTTAATTAAAAAAAATGGAAAAATATTTTTAAATTTATTTAAAAAAATTAGTAGAAATCAAATTAATAATGATTAAATTAGTCATTTTATATAGTTATGTTTTGTCTATAATCTAAAGGATTTGAGGAAATAAATAGGAAGACTTTAAACATTATATGAATTATGATGAAAATGAAGTCGATGATAAATACAAAACAATAAACACCAAATTGAGAGTAATCACTTATTGGTGAAATTAATATATTACAGCATATTTAAAAAACTTTAATTTACTATCGAAAAATTAATTAATTTTCTTAAAAAAATATGTCATAATATACGTTTTAATCAAATATAGAATTATAAACATTTTAATTTAAATATTTGCATTAATGTTATTATTTAGTTTATCAATAAAAATTTACAAATTACAATGATTACCTACTGTGATGGCTTTTTTTTGTTGCAGCAAGTATGTAGACGCATTTTTTCGAATATTAGACGGCTTACAAGAAATATGAGTTAGATAAATTATTAATATATTCACTTACTCAAGTATTTAATTTCTGTTATATTCAGTGGTGTATTTTAAAAAAAAATTATAGGGGGTATTTACATTTTTTCTAATAAATAAGTGATTTTATAACATATATATATATATATATACATATACAATAAAACCAATGATATAAGGTATGAATCAATAATTACATTTTTCTATTATTATTATAAATTCTAATAAAGAGTTATTTATAGTCAAATAATATAAATGATTTTCTCTTTTCCTCTAGATATCTTTGTAGCAAGTCATTTATGACTTTTGAACCTTTTTTTTCTTTTGGGAGGAGTCGAAACCCTCTTTGAAAATACGCCACTAGTTATGTCTATACAATATTTTAAATAATTAGGTCATATACGCACATAATTATACACAAATATGTGAATGCTAATTACTGTGTTTATTTATTTGAGTTATTTAAATTATTGTAAATATAATTTATTGGTTTTTAATGTTGATAAATTGTGTAGAAGTACAAAACATGTTGTATGTAGAATTACAATAAGGACTTATGATTATGGTTTTAGGTTAAGTTAGGTTAAGGAATATTTTTAGTAATTTATAGAAATAAAAATGTTTGATCAATACTATACGAGAGTCCCCATTTGTATTATTATACGCGTAGCATGGATGTCGTTACTCAAAAAGCAATGACAAAAAAGTCATACTTGTAAGTATTACAGCCTATTTAGTTAAATTTATATATACATATCATTGTGTCATTGTATGCACATGAAAGACATAAAAAAGAATTATTTAGTAAATAAAATTATTTTTCTTTTTGTTATTGCGTGATACGCAATTTATACACATATCTGTAGGTATATTGTTTAAACGTAAATGACAAAAAATTGCGTGTTTGTAGCATATAACAAAAAATTATTTAAATCGTGTAGAATATATATGTAGATGACGAGATTAAGAAATATAAAAACCAACAAAAAGTATGACATTGGGTATTAGAGTAAATTATAGTGATGTGTAGTTACTGTTGTGAACTGAGTTATGAATTAGTCGAATACATTTTTACGAATAAAGAATTTTCAATATTATAATAATTCATTTATTTCTATATTATTATTATAAAAGTTTTTTCAAGTAAATTAAAAATTAATATATCATATTCATTTTATGTTGAACATTTATATGTTGTATGAACGTTAGCAATATTTAATATCTTTATGTTGTAAAACTGAGTTTACTGTATACTGTATTACTTATATCATATCAATGAAAAAACATTAATAGGTTCTGTGGTGGATCCAAGAAGGGAAGGTAGTTAATTCTAAAAACATATAGATTAGATAATTGTTGTTTATTTGAAAATTAATTTAGTGTTTTTTTTTCAAATTTTACTACTTTGCATTAAAAATCATCTTAATTAGGATTTATTATTTTTGCAGCTGTATTATTTATACAAGAGAAAAAAATCTATAACAATAACAAACCCTCCACATTTTAGTTGAATAACCGCACTTACTTAACGCCTATTTAATTATATAGACCATTACAGTTTTAAAATAATTTTTGTATCAATGAAGCATATTATACGTTAATATAATACTATTTGTTCTAAGCTCTTGGTTTATACAAATCAAATATTAATAGTTTTATACCCAATATCACACTCTACACATACTATATAGGTTAAATTAATAATAATTTTTTCGTTTGAGTTTTTGAACTTTGACCTTTTAGACTTAAATCATAAATGTACTTTCATTAATAAACATAATTAAACGATATATTAGAGTGAAATTTAATTAATTTATCTTTTTTCTATGCTTTACATTATGTGCATATTATTAATTACCTAATGTGTTAAAGTTAAATAAAAACATTTAAATTAAGTTAACTCATATTATATTACTTATATATTCATTCAATATTCATAGTATATATGTTACCGGCAATATGGATAATTCAGGTACTTTGCAAAATGCCTAGACATTATGCAAATTGCCAACCCATTTTAGGCAATGTAAATAAAACATATGATTTTGATTATTATTTTATATATAACCTAGGTATTTTATAAAATACCTAGGCATTATGCGAAATGCCAATATTTTTTTTAGATAAAGTATAAAACATTTTATTATATGTTATATTATATTAAGATTCTTATAATTATTATACATTATTACTCATATTACAGATAAAATTTAATTTTAATATATTATTATATTATTACTATTATATAAATATTTTACTTAAACTATTATTTACTTATTATAACATGTTGTAGAAAAGTGACATTTTGATTGAAGTGTACAAAATATTATTTTTAAGACAAATACACTTTTTATTTTGACACTTGGACTTACAAACATATTTTAAAAACCCTTGGCCAAATCTTGTGGATTCAATTTTTATCAACTCATTATACTGTTCATCAGATAAAAAATTGGTATTAGTCGCCATATTTTTTAAAAAAAATTGTAGTTTGTTATAAAAATTTGACTATAAATTGTATGTATAGTTGCAACACCAAAACGAGACACGAAAATGACGAGAAAAATTACGATATTATAATAAAGTTTTTAGTACGTTCAATATTGTATCTCAGAATTATTATTATAATAGTAAAAGAATATTAATCTTTGTTATGTTAAATCGTGAACGCACATTTATGATAAACAATAAGTAAAGTCGTTGGTAATAGGCGATGTTCAATTTTGTTAGTCTTCTTCATATTGCATACTCCACGATTGGCATTATACATAATACCTAGGCAAAGCTCGTATTATGTATATTGTCGAGTGATTTTTGGCATTTTGAAAAATACCGGATTATCCATAATGGCGGTAACATATATAAAAATTGTTCAGGGTAATTGTAAAATAAGTAATTATAAAATAGTAAAATTACTTTAATTTTTTTCACTTTAAAATTGTATGGCTATGGTAACTGGATAATAGGATAAACTTTGTATTTAATATTGTATATTGTATGTCTATAATATAATATATGCAGAGGTGGAACTAGGAATTATTACGCCTGGGGAAAATATTAAAATTACGCCCTATCGTGGACCAATAATCAAATGCTCTTCTCAAGAATTTTTTTCTAATAATTTATTTACAATCATACTTATTGAGTTTTAACTTTATAACAGTATTTAACAAAGTTAAAAATATCAAATTAATTGTTAATAATAACAAAAATTATACCCTCTAAAATTTTACGCCCGGGGATGAATCCTCGTCTTCCACCTCCTAGTTCTGCCCCTGAATATATGTTAAATGTAAGTTAATGCGAGTATGTTAATTTATATTTAAAATATATTTACTATAGGAAATCGGGAAAGAAAGATTCAAGGGGGTCTAAACAATGGCCACCAGCAAGAATCGTAAACAGTAAACGGAAGCAGTTGTCCGAACAACTTAATTCAACGAAATTAATGTCAAAAGTCAAACCTTTGATATCTCCAAATTTAATTGAAAATCTATTCAAACAAACCAGATTTACCAAGTAGGTTCTATAACATAACAAAGTTATACGCTACAGAAATATTTTATATAGCTAAAAATAGGACTTTATAGTTTATTGAGACATTTATAATAACAAATTTTTTTCTGAGATACAATTTGAAAAATATACAATACCTACCCTCATATAAATATGAACTAATTTTTTGTAAACTATATGTGAATATTATTAAAATTATTTTTTCATTTGTTCAAATGTTGATATTTAGAAAAGAAATTGTAGGATTATGTAAATTATTTAAAAAACTCGTGGCTACTTATGGTGCTGAATCGACATCTTCTGTGGCGGCTATGAGTTCAGCTGCTTTGATAACGATTCCAACTCAGGTTTTAAAGATTTTTAAAACTAATAAAATTGTATACGGTGTTTTTAATGAATTGTACGAATTGTGTTTCTAGGGTTTTGATCGGTTAATGTTCAGAGAATTATTACAGAATGAATTTGGAATCACTACAGAAGAAATTTTAACTGATCGCATATTCTGTTTTTTTGATCAACGTAATGATGGTGTTATACACGAAGATGAGTGGGTAATAGGGCTATCAGTGTTTTTGAAAGGTACTCAAGAGGAACGTATCAAGTATACGTTTACTATATATGATCTTAACAATGACGGTTTCATAACAAAAGAAGAAATATTCAGTTTGTTAAGGTTTACAAACTTGACCACGTAGATATTAAGTTTATATGTGATGTATCGAGTTTCACGTTTCAGGAACTGTTTGGTGAAACATCCGCAGGACGAGGATCCTGATGAAGGTGTTCGAGAACTGGTAGATATAGTGCTACGCAAAATGGATTGCGATAATGATGCAAAACTTTCATTTGAAGATTTTTCCACTGCTATAAACAAACAATCACTATTGCTAGAAGCTTTTGGACAGTGTTTACCGTCCAGAGAAATCTCCGAGTACTTTTTAAATTCGATTAGCAATGTGCAGTAAATATTGAGTACGCTTTTAAATTAATCAGAAATCACTGATTCTTTGTAAATAATTACATGAGTTGCAAATACAGATAAGAGTTAAATGTAGAACAATATAGTGATGAACATTATAATGTTGTGTATCAGTATTATAAATTATTACATACTTAGGTAGTATTATTAGTATTTTTACTATCATAAATGTATTTTTGAGACGGCGCTTTATGTAGGCAATTTCAATATACATTCATAATCTGATATTTATTATTTATACTTTTTTGATAACAATTAAAAATATACATATTTATATTAACTCATAACAGTCACAATTTAAAATTTATAAAGAATATCTAATATATTAATTTTTAGATATTCAAAACATAATAAAATTTAGTTTTAAAGGTGGATAATATTTTTTTTTTAACTTTTACTTCCATCGGTTAAAAACATTTACATCTTAGATGTCTTGTACTTTTCAGATAGCTGATTCTGGTAATGTGCATACTGGCATTTAAAGTATATATACCATATATAATAAAATTATTGGTATTCCATGGTAATTGGATATAAATCATATTTTTTAAAGATCACCAAGGAACTATTTATGAATTTAATATAATTCTAAAAAAAAAATATATCCTTATTTAATATTTTACTTATAATTGTACTTTCTAATTCAAAGATTATGAAATAATCATTTTAAGATATTAATATCAGTACAATTTGATGTCACCTGATGTTTTGGGAATGAAGTCTTTAAATTCATAATTGTATTGTAGTACTTTATCTTCAAAAGTTTGTACCAAATGAAGTATCATAAAGTTAAAAAAATAATTTTCCTTGATATATACAAGCATTTTAAAATAAAAAAATTAATCTTTATTTATATAAGTAAAATCAACACTAGCTTTAAATAAGCTTTAAAACACATAAAAATGAGCCTGTAGAAAATGTTAGGTTTCAATAGAATGTTAATCTGATAAAAAAATAAATAAATAATTATTATTTTTTGAAAGGATAGTCAGTTTGAAGTAAATTTAAAATGTAAATGTAAATAAAAAAATATTTGTCTAAGCATATATTCTGATTTACTGCCGGTATAAAATTACGTTTTTAAGCGGTAAAATATAAAAGATTGTTTAATTATAACTACTTAGTCAATAAATATTTTTTATTTGGGTTAGAGTTTAAAACTGAAGTGTTAAAATATTTTAGAAATTTTTTAAAAGCGTAATAAAATTAACCAATGTTAATTTTGGTCAATTTAAATTATGGATTACTATTACATTTTCTTTTTTAGTAAATGCATATATTTATTTAAACTAAAATGTATAAAAAAATGATTTAATAAAAGTTTAGTTGTGTTGATTTTACTTTTATTGGAATTTAGATATTATTATGACATGAATCAAGAAAAATTAAAATATTTTTATTATATAATGTTAATACTTAAGAGATGAATAATATGTTATTCAATTCATTAAGAATCAAATGTATCACTTAATATTATAAAATAAGTACACCTAATATCATAGACACACACAAGGGACAAGGGTAGGTTTTAGATGTTTAAACCTCTCACTCAAATTCAAGAAAATAATTAAGTGTTTTTAAAGAGTAAAAATGGTTTATAGATTAATATTGTATGGGCCTACCTTAGGCCCACCACTAGCCGGCTTGGGAAGCCAGAATAGTGGCAGGAGCCTAAAAACCCCGGGTTGATCCACCGCACGCCGGACCGGCCTAGCCGTTCTGGACTCGGTGCCCCCAAGGTTGAGGAGCCTACTTCGGCTGAAACGTGGTGGCAGTGGCACAGCGCGAGATAGTAACAAAACCACAACACCCAGTAGAAACCTGGGGTCCCAACACAGTTCTCGTTTCCGCGGTTTGAAAGGTCTCGGTGCTGGTGCTCCATATGACGACCCGAGCTCCTTAGTTATACCTTGGGGTTCGTTTCGACCATGCCCTTTGAGTAACGCATCACGTTAATAGTAGGTATGCGGACGATAAGGCCTCGTCCACAAACCCGGATATCGTGTATGGGCCTGCCTAATATATTTATAATATCTATGAAACTAAAAAAAAAGAATTGTTTTAATCACTGAAATTTTTGTAGTCTATATTGTACTATTAAGGCCCGGTTTTTCAATCACATTTACTCGTCAGATAACTTGAGTTATCTGACAGATAAGAAAAAATTGATAAATTTCAGTTTTTCAATGTCAGGATAGACCTTATTCGATGAATATTGTTATGGATACGTTATCCGTTACTTTTTGTATCAAATAAATCTTATTCGACGGATAATTAACAGCTGATAACATAAAAATGGTTAGTTATCATAATTTTTCATATTATTTTAAATATATATGTGTATATATACACAATTCCAATTTCAATGTACATGTATTTATTTGAAGAGGATGATTATGAAACAATTAAATATTTGAACTATTGACGTCGTCTGTACTCTGTATACGAAAGAATAAAACATATGCTGGCGTGAGATGACCATGACTTTAGGATGAGATTCAGACTTGGAAAAAATGTTGTTCGTAATTTATTAGTTAACACTTTATTTTCTAATGCGTGACGGTTTTGTAGATCATTTTTCAATAAAAGTTCTTTTTCATAAAATCTGAAATTTGTTTGTTTTTTGGATATGTTTTTTTGAGACATGTTGAAAAAAGAAGTGAATATAACTTATATCGAGCGAGAGTCAACACTCAACACGCAACAAAATTAATAATTATTGATTAGTAATTACATACAGTATTACAATAATGTGTCAATATCACCGAACGATTCCTTATCAATTTCATCATTGACCAATCATAATCAAATAAATATGTGTAACTTGTTCCATAATGAATAGTAACTACCTTCTATTAGTATAATTTTACTGCCGAAAACTTTATCTGTCAGATAGCTATCTGGAGAATAAAATTACATTGAAAAACCGGAATCACTTTATTTGAAAGATTATCCGCCAGATAAATTTATCCGACAGATACGTATCTAGCGAATAATTGAATGAATGAAAAAGCGGGCCTAAATTAATTAATTTTATTACTAGACAATTTATAATGATCTAGCTTAGAAGGATAAAAAAAATATTTAATTTAATGACTAATTTTGGTACCTTATATATAATCAGTGCTCAACTTTGCAAAATTAAAGATGGGGGCTCTGTTTACTTCTTTAAAAAAAGCATCCCTAAAAGTTGTTAAGATTTATAATTATGTTATGATAGTAGAGGGATGCTAAAATTTCTGAACATTGTTGGAGTATTCTGTACCCCCCCCCAAGTTGAATACTATATATATAACAGCAATTGAGAATTAAATAATGACAACCATAATGGTTTTATTTGGTCAAAAGTAGATGATGTATATTACGATATATCAGTGAATAAATTACAAAACATAACAAATGCTTGTAGATTAGGGAGAAATATTGACACAGTCTAACAATTTATTAATTTTTCTCTAAAATTTACAAAATCTATTTTTAAATAAAATAATACACAGTTAAGATACAGGTTTATTATCGATAGACATACTTATATGGTTGGTGACACTATTATTAATAATAAAAATAAACTATATAATAATAAAAAAAGAAAATAAATGAGAGAAATTAATATAGTGTCCAAGAGAGATATGTAAATTATTTATATAAATTGACACACCCGAATGGCTGAAAATGATAAAAAAAAATGTGATCTAACAGTATAATAAATTTAAGAAAAATGAAATGAAATTATTATTGTCATGGAAATAAAGTGTTTAATTTACGTTATGATGGTCCAACATTTGTACCTATCAGATGTCGTCACATCGGTCTAAGGTTTTTTTTTATGACAAATGGATAAGCAAAGTGCTACACTGCATATTGCAGGTTTGGTTGTTGTCAGAACAATAGCATGGCCAACAGCAGTTTTTTTAATAACTGCTACACAGGTTTGTATCAAAATAAATATGAATTAATAAAGCCCACTAGGTAAATACTCAATACTTAAGCAGCAAAAAATATACATATTTTTTTTTAGAGTAATGTTAGTGCATTTAACATGGACCAGGAAATTTGCATAACATACACAAGAAATTTCATTTCATTACCTTATAAGTACAAATATAAATGAAATAATAATAAAAAATTGATAATATTGTTTAAATTTGTTGTCCATAAAACAAATCCAATAGCATTATTTAGTAATAATATTTTAAATGTATAACTTATAGCTTTACTTATGTTATATTAAAACAGAATTACCAAACACCTTCTGATCTAACAGTTATATAAATATAAAATAATATCAAAGATATTTCCACTAAACAGTCTCTCTAATTATAAAAATTAATAGTAATTTTAATAGGTTTTTTATTCCAAGTATCAAGTTCAATTTATTAAAAATTAAAAATTTTTATTTTTCTTTTGGCACTATTTTTTCCTTATCTTTATCCTTAGCAGCAGCAGCAATTGTACTTGGTGTAATACCAGCAGCAGCAGCTATATTACCAATGCTACAGGTATCTCCGGTTTCTAATTGTTTTAAGAGGCGGAATAGAGCAGATGCTTCTCGTATTTGAATGAAATCAATACAAAAAGCTTGAACTTCAATAAATAATTCCTATAAGAGGTAAAAAAATTGAATTAACATAATTAGATATTTTAGTTATATATTAATAATTTACCTGCACGTTGATAATTTTGTTTCTAATAAGAGATTGCAAGAAAACACATACTAAACGAACAAGTCGATTTTGCATATACTGATCCTTTATAGTTTCACAAGCTACAATGCAATTTGATATGTACAAATGTACAAATTCAGTAGGCAGTTCAACAGTTGTTGTTAATCTAATACAACATACAAATATAATTAAACCATTAGTTTAATAAAAAAAAACAAAAAAATATAAACTGACCGATTTACTACTTCCATTGAATGTAAAGACATTTCCATATTGACTAGGACAGAGAAATAATCTGTTATACTATGGGACTGCATTAATTTTAGTAATACTTCAATAGCTATTAAAGGATTATTCTCAACTAAATCCGGTAACTTAAAAATAAAACATTTTGATTGATATTAACAATGAACAACAGTATTGTAGATATTGGTGTAACTATTATATTTATTATTAATACTATATTCATCTTACTTTACAAGGCGTGAGACCAATATGATAAACTAATTTTGGATCATTTACAAGTTCAGCTAATAGATGTTGCTGTTGCTGTAATGTTAATGGCGTTTTAAGAGCTTTAGTCATAAGTTCACGTGCTTCAGTAGCAGCACTAGTAGAAACACACATTGTTTTATCATACATGATTACGTGGCTGGTTCGGCTATCCTTGCTTATCCAAGCTATCTGTAAAAGTATTTTATTACAGTGAAATTAAAAAAAACTGATGATTAGGTCTCTGATTTTAAAACAAATGCTTTTTTTTTATATATGAGATAGAACTCTAATTTTTAAACATAAATTTATTTCATGTCTTTCTATTTCCAAATAAACCAATTTATTTTTGCTTTTTTTTTGTGTAAATGCTTTTTTTTTGCTTTTTTAGTTATTCCAACCATGGCATTTTTATACATATGTGTATATTAAATATACTATAGTAATAAAAATTTTTTTATTTAATTAATAACAAATTTGAAATCCCAGAATACGGACTAAATGGTTGTATTGGATTATTATTGTTTTCGGCTTAATTGTTAAATTTATTAAATGTATAGTTTATCAATCTGCAGACAATTAGTTCATTGACAAAATGTATAGATATTGTTTTAGATGCAGAAAATATGTTAAATTAAGCTAATGGAGATATTGCAATTGCAATTTCGGGTAAACTAAATCGCGTTCTTGTGAAAAACAAAGGTTGGAAACAATTACTAGACATTAATAATATACTGATAGCATTTAATCAAATGAAATTAACTATCATAGGTTAGATTTAAATAAACCTCTTGTATGAAATATGTACCGATAACTTCAGTAGATGTAAAGCATTCGTTTTCTTTGTATAAAAACATTCTGTCAGATAATAGAGACAGTTTCACTACTAAAAATCTTATAAAATACATAGTAGTCAATTATTTTTTAATTTAATTAATTTTTTTTAATCAATTTTATAACTAATTCATGTTAATTTTGTCATGCTTTTTTTTTGGTTTTTTTAAAAATAAATGTCCTTCATTTTTGCTTTTTTTTGTTATTTATTATGCTTTAAAATCCGAACCCTACTGATGACTATTTTTCATACTTACTTCATCTTTGCTAACATACAATGGAGGTACAAGTCGCATCATTTCTGGTTTGAAGTTGTGTGATACATAAGATTTAGGTCCACTTATAAGCATTTCTAAAACTTGTTTAGCTCCTTCCTTGGTTCTTTAATATATAAATATAATTATTAGTTGGGTTATTTTTAGACACTCATTATTTAATTTACTCAGTTTTTTGAGGATCAGGTATAATAACTGGAAGGGAACTTTTTGCTGTTCGAGGGAGATTTTTTCGACGATCCTTGATGGTATTAAGAATTGTTGCTGTATTAACTACAGGTTTGCTGGGATCACTGCGTGCTGTCAGTACTTGTTTAGCAGACTTTCGTAACAATTCTTTAGAATTTTGAGACATTATTAAATTGGAGAGAAATATTTTAACAGGCATAGTTAAAACTGGCAAATCACCAACATATTCATTTTTGCCAACTTTTTTGTGCTGTTAATAAAATTAAGTACAAATTTATTTATTAGCATATAATATAATTTATATGGACAATTTATCTTACCAAGAGATGCATAAAAACAGGTGCTAAAGGATTTGATGCAATTGGTTCATTACGGTATAGTTCATAACATAATATTATTGCAGCAAATTTTTGTGTTTGATTGAGCAGAAAATCAGAATGCTGAATCAACATGAGTAAAGTGCATCCAACTGAATATTAAATATATGATAGTGTATTGTTAATATTATTAATAATAATTTAATTCAATAAATATAAATTGATGAAATATTCATAATAATATAAGCCTGTAATATTAAGTAAAGATAATAAAGATCATTCAACTATAAATTTATATTTTATGCAATTCAGGATTTTTCATAATAATCAACAAAAACAATGTAATTACAATTACAGAAGTATTGTTGTAGAAGTTTATAAGAGAAAATAAATATTGATTTTTCTTATTAAAAGTTTTGAATTACAAACTTATCATTTCATAATAATTTAAAATGAAATATGATTACAATTCAATTTAAATATTTTTAAAGAGGTAATTCTAATGTAAGCATAAAATATATTATATTTATTATAATAACAGAAAATATTTAAAAAAAATCTAGTAAAGATTGAAGTTAAAATTATTATGAAATATTATTTTTATTCAATCATAATGTAATAATAAAATTAAATTTAATAATAAATCTACCTTTAAAATTATCTTCTCGCTTAAAATATTGATGTAATTGGGAAACAAGGTATTCAAGAGTTTGATTTTCCACAGTTTCTTCACTGAGAATGCTATAAAAATAATTTAAAAACGGTAGAAATGTATTTAAATTATACTATCTTTATTTGTTCATACCTCATAAGGGTAGACAGTTGGTTGACAGAGAGATACATTCTGTATGTGAGAAATAATCCTTTGATATTTGTATAACAGTTATTACAAGTAAATTACAAAGCGTAAATAAATAATATAATGAAGAAAACAAATTAAATTGCACTAATAAAACATAATTTAAACAATGGCTATACAATAATATAAATATTTGTTAGTTTACTGGTAATAACTGTGAATTGAAAAATATTAGTTATAAACACACCAAAATAAAAATTTGATAAAATGTGAACGGTAGTTGATAAACTGTGCTTACCAACATTATAAAAAAAAAGATTATTGCTAACCGAGTTGTAAGAAAAAAATATTACAAAGAGGATATAAACAAAAGTCTGAAATTTAAAATTGCTGCTCCTGATAAAAATGCTTGATTTTTAATCACGGCAAATTAGTTATCCTTTTTGTGTAGGAACGATGTTTAAATTAACATTTGAATATATATTTTTCTATACACAAACCAGGAACAGTGGTATCATTTTAGGGAGGAGGGAAGGGAGAAATTCGTGCTATTTAAAGTCAGCATATCCTGAAAATATAAATACGTCTTTTATAAAGTTATTGATATTTTGTAAATCAAAAAAAATGAGACGCGTAGGTACTATACGGGCACTTATGAACAAAGTACAAATCATTATATTTTTGGATTGGTTTCACGTCTTCCCTCCATGATAATCCGTGGTTTTTTACGACAAACAAATGTCATCAAACGTTGTGAAAATGTTTTTTTTCGTAACATGAATATATTAAAAAATTGTGTTTTGGAAAGTTTGCTTTGCAATTCATTTTTCTGCTTAATAAATCTGATTATTTCCCTATTCAGAAATACTGAGTGATGACTGATTTCAGATCATAAACATTTTGATGATTCTCTGTTTAATAAAATTATTATCTTTACGTAAATTCTAATTTTATATTTATCATTCTCATTATTAATTTTTTATATTAATGATAATTAAAAGTTAAATCATTCATGATATACGTGAAATGTGACAATAACAATATATTAATACCTAAATAGTCTTGAAGATAGCATTTTTATTTTCATTGAAGTTTTAATATAAATATTGTCAAAGACGTTGATTTTATTGTTTGATGAATATATTCTCTTATCTTTTTGCTAGTAGTTACCAGTTACCATTATTGAACAAAGTTCTTATCATTACTAATTTCTTATCATTTTAAATATACACAAATTGTTATTCATACATTTTAAATCAAAAAATTATTAAAATTTATACTTTTTTTACAAATTTCCACAAAATACTAATTCATTTTTACTAAACGATGTTTTTTGCATTTTTATTTACACCGCATGTCTCTTCTACCTAATGCAAACACAGCGCGTACTAAAATTATCCCGCCATTTCGAAATCTTGCCATTTTGGTATATTTATTATTAATATGGACACAATTTCAGAAGTCAAAAATTAAGCAAAATGCAATTTTACAAATTATCCTAGAATGCAAAGGTAAGTAAATATTTGTAACATTTTTATAAGTAATGAATATAAGACTAATTTTGCTAGAATAATTCGGTTTTGTGTTTAAATTCTTAATTTACATATTCATTATTTAATGTATTTTTATTTACAAACAAATATTATTAGTGGAATGTATTGTGGACTGCAATAGCACTTTTTCACGTTAATTATAGTTGTGTAAAACTTAAAAAAATATGTAAAAAAAGTATGTAAGGAAAATTTAGAAATCATGTTTATTTTAATCTCGTGATTTTTTTTTCTGATCAAATTTAGTATTATAATAAATAATAAGTGGCTTAATCAATAATTTCATGATCATGATGTTAATTTTCTTATCTTTTTTAAAATTTTACGAATTCCGGATTGTATATTGGATGCACCAAAATTCAAACCTAAATTCCAATTATATTGGAGATATCGATGTTTTTTTTTACAATAGTAAATTTTATATTTTCTCAGTAAATTTCTTAGTATTTGAAGGGAAAACTGAAAATAATGAATTTATGGAATAATACGAAATTGCGTTTTATTTTTAAAAAAAAAATAAATAATATTCATACCACAGTTATTATACTGTTTAAAAAATAATAGTAAGAAAGTTTAAAAATCTTTCTAGGATTTTTATTTAAAAATGTAAATGCTTATGAAGAATGAATTCAAAAATTGTAGATTACTGAATTTTAATGTATTTTTATTTAACTACAATCTGTTTGTAATGTTTATAATAAGAATGTGGGTTATTATGGAATAAGCAGTGGTTTTATTTGGGGAGGAATAAGCAACTTTTATATTTGTCACGGTTATTTTAAAGTGAGCATATCATCAAAATTTAATACGTCTTTTATAAAGCTATTGGCATGTAGTAAATCAGAAACATGAGGCGTGTACTATACAGTTATTTATGTACAATGTACAAATCATTATATTTTTGGGTTGGTAAGATATCTCCCTCCACACAAGTTAATCGGAGCTTTGGTAAAATGAGTCACAGAGTCGGAAATTTAATAAGAGCATACCGACTGTCCTACCCCAGAAAAAAAACTGAAATTACCCTATTGGGAATAAGACTCACTGTTATGGATATTAATTTATTTCTAAAATTTGTAAATATTTTTTCAAATGTCATTGCCCTTAAAAAAGCTGTACGTAAATGATGTTCAATAATAAAATAATATCATTTATCAGTGGGACGTAAGGGATTGATTGCTAGCGTTGTTATTATACAATGAATATAATTAATTTGATATATCCAAGACCTTAACCAATATTCTTTATATTTTGGCAATACAACGCAGAAAAGATTACCATAGTCCATATAGAATTGGTTCGTTAGTGTTTACAAGAGAAAACAATTTAAGGTAACTCGCTGTCCATTAAAATTATATTATCAATTTCTTATAGTATTTTATGCAGGATTTCTTCTTTTATGATACACGCAACATTTTCTGCGATTTATAAATAGTTTTATTTTATTTTCTGATTCGTATAACTTTATCGAGCATGCTTAAAATTGAATAGTTTTATTCGTGTACATTTTTTTACTCAAGAACGGTGTTTGATATTTTAAAATATATTATTACGTATGTAATAATGTTTGCATTTTAAATTTAATATTAAATTAAGCTTCACTTATAGAATGCATGCATATATGAATTTACTAAAACTACTTGTTTTAGTCTCGTTGCTTTAATTAATAATATATCTTCAATTAATTAAAATTTATATTTAAAAACTATTAAGAAAAAATGTAATCAAGATGTTTTATTTAGTTAAAATCATATTAAAAATAATATACATAAAATGTTTTTTTTTTTTAATCTGTAATCATAATATCTTAACTTATAATTTTTATCTAATCTTTTAAATTATTTATGCCAAATGTACTCCTAAATTATGCTTTATCTATGTTGACTACTATGGCAAAGTGTTAATATAATTTTCTTTTTTTTCTTTTTACAAATGTAACTGATCTCTTCTTTGAAACTTGAAACCGAGTTTGGTGACCTTGGTAGTAGTGCGTGAAGTGTCCAAAATCATTGGAGCCTGGAAGTATCAAAGACCTTGGGAGGGCGAGGGAGGAGTGATAGGGCGAGAGGAAGCGCGTCATTTCCCCGTTTGTAATAAGTTATACATGACGCTCGGTGTATATATTTGAAATGTCTTGCCAGGTGCAGAGCAGTACTGGCGCTGTCCATACCACCTGGCTTCTGTTTTTTCCACTGAGAGCACGGCACATTCTCACTTCTCCAGTAACTCACCCGTAAAACCTCTGGATCTATTCGTCCGTTACATAATAATACAGGCCAGTACACACTTATAAGTATAGGTATCCATACGTAAACCGTTTCATTGGTAACTTAAACTTTCTAAGAGCATGACCGTTTTAAATGGTCAAGTCATTTAGATAACGTAGAACTGAATAATATTATACTATATAGAGGTTTATCACGATTAATGAAAAATAGTATTAATTTTAAACGAAACAAATACAATCTTTATTTTAGTTTATGAAAATATAATTGTAGGCTGTATGTATAATGTTCTCAAGTGATTAAAATTAAAAGGTTAGGTTTGAATAATAATAATTAATTATATAGTGGTTTATAATTTAAACTAATTTTAACGTCCGATGAAAAATATTATCGCACAATAGAATATATATTGTAATGGGAATTTAAAAGTGTAAATATATATTTATTCTTTATACAAGGTGATCTATTGAAGTGACTACATTCTAATTTATCGAACATGTAAAGTTTAGGTAGTTAAATGATTTATCCTATATATATATATATATATATCTGTATTATACGATGATAATATATTCCCAATTTATGGTATAGTCACTATTTAATTGAATAATATAATTTTTATAATTTATAATTAGAGCGAAAATTTATTAAATGCTGGAAATTATTATCAATTTAAATAATTAAAAGTTAATCATAGTTTTAAAGTGCTTTTATTGCACTTTTAGAATTTAAAATTGTTATCCGTTACTTTTCCTAAGACTTTTAATTTAAGTTAATGTAATTTTATTTGTTATTATCATATTAAAAGATATTACATTCAATTAAGATAAAATTAAAGATCATCTTATTTCTGATTTAATACTTGAGCCCACAAATAATTTCGTGTCATTAATAATTTTTTTTTATTTTATTTTACACGTAGTTAACAACAATATTGCATCTACTGTATTCATAGAATATGAATCACACTAGGGTTTATCAATTATTCAATTTAAAATACGTCCATATAAAATACGTATGCCAAGACTCAAGTTTAATAACTTAATGGATATTTTAATTTCCGGCGTTAATATATTTTGTTCACTTAATAAAAAAGTGGGTCAAAAGTACGTTTTAAATCTAGCGTTCAACTGTTGTTACGAACTATTGACCCGTTAAATAAAAACTCCACGTGCATCATTTTATAAATTTTTTATAGTTAAAAATGTTGGTAACGTTAAAAAACAATCGTATGTAAATTTGTATAACTATATACTACATTTTAAAATA